CGATGCGGATCCTGCCCGTGCGGCCGCTTGGTTAGGGGTGTGGGTCGGTGACGAGGTTGCATGGAGTTGTTGTTTCGGACCAAACTCTCAGCTTTTTGTGAGCTTGTTGCGGGCCTCATGTAAAGTTGTGTGTGAAAGTTGTGTGTTGTATGGGTCCCGGGTATGGGGGCAGGATTTCTGAGGCGAGCTTGGGTCAAGCGCTTTGCCTGCTTTCGTCGAGGAATTGGGGGAGACGCGATGCCGCTTACAGGATAACCACGGAAGCCTACATTCGTGTACATATGTTTTTCTCCTATCTCTCTCTCTCTCTCTCTCTCTCTCTCTCTCTCTCTCTCTTTCGCATGCCCCAAGTAGGCATTCCAGACAGGTCCCGACCATAATGTTTGTGAGCCATGATGAACACAAGGCTTCATCACGCCCTGTGCGCTCAAGTGCAAGTGCCCTGAAACCCTCGAGCTGAACAGCCCAACCATGCAGGAGAGTTAACCTGACATCCCCCCAGCCCGGTCATGAAGCGCATGGTTCCCTAAGCCCCAGACCCTAAACCCTACTGCGCACCGAGTAAACCCAAAACCCTCAACACCCCCAGCCAAGATAGACTCAGATATCGGCCGCCATAGCGTTCGCCTGACAACATAGCAGTATGTATGCACATGTCATCTCCCCCTGCAGCCATCAGGAACTGAAGCAAGCCCTGCGCGACCTCGGCAAGGGGGACCTGAACAACATCCCAGCGGGCTACCGCGTGGCCCTCAGATCACTGTCGGGTTTGGCTTGCGGCAGCCAGTCGAAGGTTGCGACTTGTGAGGGGGTTTGCCCTAAACCCGAAACCCGAAACCCGAAACTCGAAACCCGAAACCCGAAACCCGAAACCCGAAACCCGAAACCCGAAACCCGAAACCCTAAACCCTAAACCCTAAACCCTAAACCCTAAACCCTAAACCCTAAACCCTGCACTTGACCAGGTATTGGAAGCTTCCCTTTTTTTGACTGATAGGCCTCCTACTCCAAAGCTCAAGGACCGAAACCATCCTGAGGACCCTCTCGCCCTAAACCCTAAACCCTAAACCCTGAACCCTAAACCCTGAACCCTAAACCCTAAACCCTAAACCCTAAATTCTAAACCCTAATCCCTAAGCCCTAAACCCTAACCCCTAAACCCGAAACCCTAAACCCTAAACCCGAAGCCCACGAGCCGCTTGGGCTACCAAGGCACCGATGCCGTGAAGGGTGCTGCCTATAGGGCGATCCGGAAGAGCGATTTGCCCATGCTGACGACTTGTGTCTCGGATTGGGTTAGGGTTTAGGGTTTAGGGCTTAGGGCTTAGGGTTTAGGGTTTGCGGTTTTAGGGTTTTAGGGTCCAGGGTTTTAGGGTTTAGGGTTTCCCTGCTCGATGGTCTCAGTCGACGGACGAACACCGCTTATTTGGATTGATGAGTGTGAGGGCTTTCAACAGTGGGACCTTGAAGATGTCAGCTTCGGGGGCCTTTGGACCTTTGTGACTCGAGTTCGTATGCAGAGTGATGCTTGGGTGTTCATGATCCATGTTTCCACGGAGATGTACGAGGCGCATGCAGTTATGTGGGGTCGGTTGGCTGAGGAGTGCGTGACAAACTTTCACCAAATTGTGCTACTTGACATTTTAGATGATGTCACTATGGAACGGGTGACGCAGCTAGCCTTGCAGTCACGAGAACTGTGAAGCTGGTTGTGTGAGCCTGACTTTCCCGGCAGCTGTGCAGACCTGGTTGTAAAAAGGGTTTAGGGTTTAGGGTGAGAGGGTCCTCAGGATGGTTTCGGTCCTTGAGCTTTGGAGTAGGAGGCCTATCAGTTCAAAAAAAGGGAAGCTTCCAATGCTGTTCAACTGCACGGGCGGCTTAGGGTTTAGGGTTTAGGGTTTAGGGTTTAGGGTTTAGGGTTTAGGGTTTAGGGTTTAGGGTTTAGGGTCTGGGGTTTCGGGTTTAGGGTTTAGGGTTTAGGGTTTAGGGTTTAGGGGGTTCTAGGGAGTCTTGTGCTTAGGATTTTAGGGAGTTTAGGCTTTTAAGGTTTCGGCGAAAGGGCTTAGCAAAACGGGAGGGTGTTTAGAGTTTTCCATTGGAAGGGTTGTCGTTCACGCATGTGGTTGCACCTGGAAATATGGACCCTCGAACTCCCATATGCCCCTGCCAGACAGTCCCTAGGACCCTAAACCCTAAACTGTAGCTTGGCCTAAACCCTAAACCCTAAACCTAAACCCTACACCCTACACCCTACACCCTAAACCCTAAACCCTAAACCCTAAACCCTAAACCCTAAACCCTAAACCCTGAAAATTCGGCTTGTGGAGTCGGGATGCATGCGATCAGCTGTGCGTGTTGGGTTTCGGGGTCCGAAGATATGATGAGCCCGGCGACCTGACGTCCGAACATACCAGAGCAGCAGATTTCGCGGGCACACACGCACGCACCCACCTTCCTCCGTAATTAGCAAAGACAGCCAACTTCAGAGAGGTGAGGCCCCATCAGAAACCCAACCCAAACCTTCGAGCCATCTACCAGTTTCAAGAGGGCCTTTTTTGGTTTCACCCTACTCCTAAGCTTGGGGCCCCGAACCCCGATCCCTCAGCCCGATACCCCCCCCGAGCCTAAGCCCTCAAAGCCCTCGAAGCCCTCGGTTTAGGGTTTAGGGTTTAGGGTTTAGGGTTTAGGGTTTAGGGTTCAAACCCCCAAAGAACCACTCCGAAAGCCCCGAAGCCAAGGCATTCGGGACTTTAAGGTTCGAGCTTCCACGAAGCTGACCCTGGGCCGCCATCTGGGGTTATGGGGTTTAGGGTTGTGGGGTTTAATTAGGTTTTAGGGATTTTAGGGTTTAGGGTTGTGGGGTTTAGGGTTTAGGGATTTTAGGGGTTTAGGGTTTAAGGGTTTAAGGGTTAAGGGTTAAGGGTTTAAGGGTTTAAGGGTTTAAGGGTTTAAGGGTTTAAGGGATTTTAGGGCCCTCATCCTAGCTCCCTCCGGGGCCATGTCCTGGCTTGAGCTTGGGCAAGTGCCCGGCGAACAACAGGGGCCAGGTTGCAAAAGGGTTCAGGGTTCAGGGTTAGGGTTTAGGGTTTAGGGTTTAGGGTTTAGGGTTTAGGGTTTAGGGTTTTTGTAGCTTTAGGGTTTAGGGTTTAGGGTTTAGGGTTGAGGTTTAGGGGACTTCGTGTGTCCGAAGATGACAGGTTTCTCCCCCCCATACTCTGCTGCCGAATTCCTACATTCCGAACCCTCAAGCTCAAAGCCCTAAGCCACACCCTACATCTTGCGTTCGGCCCGAAACTGAAATCCTAAACCTTAAACCTAAACAGCAACCCCTGAACCACTATTTTGGACTAGAAAAGGTGCATAGTAGGGTTGTTAAGAAAGTATTTTGGAGCTTCCGAGGATTTGAATCCACAATAAAGCCCAGGCTCTGCGAAGCCGCAGCTGCTCGGCGAAGGGTTTATGGGTTGGGGTTGAGGGTTTAGGGGTTGGGGTTGGGTTTAGGGGTATAGGATTTATGGTTTGGGGGTTTGGGGTTTTGGGGTTTAGGGTTGAGATTTGGGGGTTTAGGATTTAGAGTGGTTTCACATGAGCCCTTGGCTGAATTTTTCCTTACGAAGTGGAGGATAGGTATGGACATCCTTTTCCCCGATTCTAGTGTGGGTTTTTACATGGGGTTGCGAAACTTATGATTCCCAGTCGGGTGTTTCCAAAATTAGGGGTACTTCGTTGGTGTCCTTATCAAAAGGGGATCCTACTATACGGGGATGTACATTGGGGGTCCCTATTTTCGTACACCCCCCAATATGAAGAGCCTTTGTAGGGGGGTTCTAGTTTGTTTGGTTTCGGAAGTCCCAGAAGTTTCGTTCGCTGGCTCCGCCGAGATTCTGAGATTGAGGATTTAGGGGGCAGCCATGGGATGAGCCTCTGGATGCAACGGCAGACAGAGAGAGAGGAAGGAAGAGGGAGGGAGAGAGAGAGAGAGAGCGAGACCCTCCCGGGTGGTCCTCTTGGGGGACTGCATGCAGAGGAAGGTTAGGGTTTAGGGTTTAGGGTTTAGGGTTTCGGGTTTCGAGTTTCGGGTTTCGGGTTTCGGGTTTAAGGAGGATGCCGGGAGCACCAGCGGCCCCATAAGCCAAGTCCACGCTGAGGTAGACTGGTCTGGCGATCCTGCGGTCGTCGGTACTCTGATGGCGCACGGGGCCCGCGTCAACGGCCACCAGGAATCCTGAGGGTGGGGGAGGGTCAGGACCAACCCAGGTGTAGAGCGCCAAGCTTGCAGTGATCCGAGAAACTACTAGCTACTGCATGCTGCGGCTCAAGCCTTGGGTTTTATATTTTTTTGAGATCCCGCCGACTTCTTCCTGTCGTGCTCACCATGCCCAGCCAGACAGCAGCTTGCCTTGCCGCCGCGGCGGCTACGGGCCTCGTGGCGCCCGCTTTTCTCTCTGGCCTTGCAGGAGCACGTGCAACTGCTCCGCAGCTGCGTGGCTCAGGAGCTGGCACCGGCCCCAGCATGGGTGCCATTGGCGCCATCGCTGCCGGTGGTGCCGTTGCCATGACTGCGGTGACCTCGCAGCGCCCGGCGCGGACACGCACGGTGCAGAAGGCAGGTCGCCGTGAGCTGGCCGTCGCCTATGAGGACTCTGGCATCGACCTCCTTGACAATGGCAAGTTCGCACAGGGCCTGGTGGGTTCCGAGGGTGCTTGGGGGCGCTACGAGTTCGATCCCTTGGGCTTCTCTTCGAAAACGGAGCAGGTTCCTTGGCTTCGTGAGGCAGAGCTCAAGCACGGCCGCATCTGTATGCTCGCCTGGCTCGGCTTGGTGGTCCCGGACTTCGTTCGCCTGCCGGGCGAGAAGTTCTCATTCGAGGCCGTGCCTGTCTCCATCGATGCTCACGAAGCCTTCCGCGGTGCCACGGGCGTCAACGCCCAGATCTTGTTCTGGGTCAGCCTCGTGGAGCTCTGCTGCACGAAGAAGGTCTTCGAATGGAACTCTCTGGAGGTCGCTGGTGACTATGGTCTTACCAGCTGGTTCCCCAGCGACGAGGAGGGCCAGAAGAAGATGCGCCTGGCTGAGCTCAAGAATGGACGTCTGGCTATGCTCGCCTTCGCCGGCGCAGTCACCCAAGCGGTCCTGACTCGCCATCCCTTCCCTTGGCTCTACTGAGACCCGAGCACATGCCAAGAGTTGTAGGATATGAAGGCGTAGTCTGGCATGCCGTAGATGCTCTGTGGACAGTGGCGGGACACTTCGCAAGCTCCTGAGAGCAACAAAAAGCCCGAGTGTGAGGTACTCAGTCCTTGGCTGCCATTTCTTGGAGGTCTGATCCCAACAAGGCCAGCTGGCCACAAACCGCCGATGGGTGCTCAAAGTGCGTAAGAAAGACCCACATCGAAACTTGCCCATAAGGAATGATAGCGACACCACCTCGTCAACAGCACTTCAACCCCCTGACTTTGGAATGGGCCGCGCGCTGTCAGGACGAGCGCCCGCTGGCTGCAGCCGCACAGAATCTTGGGGAGACTTAAGGTCCGGTCTATTTTTGGGTGCCTTTTTCCCGCGCTGTGCGACTTGGTGGGTTGTCGACCCCTGACCGCGCAATCTAGATCAAATCCCCGATTTAGTTCCATGCGGTGACTCCAGCTGCGACATTGGGTGTCGCACCACACATCTGAGCTGAGTAGCCGTCCTGCACGCGGCTAGATCTGATCGTAAGATTCGGCGATGCAGCCGGCACCACATGGTAGCTACACTTCCATGGGGGGCAGTATACGGTCGCATCACTATTGTGCTGCCTTTTGTTACGCTGCTCACTGTTGAGGAGTTTGCGCTCTACTGCAGTGGCTTGTGCCACAAGAATCCACAAGCCAGGTGAGAAGAGTGAGCAAGAATAGCAAGAACTAGCATGACATGTAGGCGGGAGTTGAGGCGGCCGCAGTTGGGACGGAGGACGCGCGGGCTGCGCGCAGTTTTGGCATTTCAGGCATATTAGTAAGGCAGCAGTGAAGCAGCAGGTAGCTTCGAGATGACCAACAAGCCAGTGGCAATGACCATTGGTGCTTTGATGCGAAACCCCCCGCATTTGGTGTGGTTGTATAACGGAAGTGCTTCTTTCCAGACATCAAAACAAGGCCTCTACATGCACTCCGCACCTTGCTGCTACCTTAGGCGATGACATTATGACATGGGCCTTTCGCGACAGATGGGTTTCAGCCTCTTTGGCCATGAGCCCATGAAAACGTGAAGATCGGCACCCAACCTGCCATGCAATCATGGCAACTTCAAATCCATCGAGGAGTAAGTCCGAAGCTCATGGCAAAAGTTCAATCGGCCCCATGCCACACGTACAATTTTCCAGGGCTTTAGAACAGATCGTCATCCCTTCGATGGATTCTTTTTTGAAGCCGAGGAAAGGAAACCTGCTGATGCTTCGGGCTCTCCTGGCCCTGCCGCGGATTTGTTTTCTGCGTCGAGTTTGTGGGCTTGTTGTGGGTTGTAGGTGGTTGCAAACAAGGGGTTCAGGGTTAGAGGCCCCAAAGAAGGGTTTAGGCATGTGCAGATGAAGATTTGGGGCCGGCGCGTGGCTGGTCGCCTAGTATGGCTGGACTACTGACGCTTCCCGTTGACAGCCCCCGCGCCTCCATACTGCAGAGTAAGCTGTTGGACTCGAGTGCTGCGAACCCCTTGCCATGTCATTCCATGTCCATGTAGCGTAAAATGGAGCTTCCGCAGTAGGACTCTACCCCACACCGTTTTGCAATAGGTCTTTTTGAGGAGGGCTGTAGAACACAATGCGTGATTCAACACCAAAACCTAAACCTGCTTGTCCGGGCATAAGCGATGAAACTCTGGACCAACAGAAATCCAGCAAGAAAAAGGCTTATGGTTTAGGGTTTAGGTTTAGGGTTTAGGGTCCGCGGCCAGGAAGCAGGAGCTGATCCGATGAAGCCCATAGGCCGGCCCTTCTTGTTGAGGTTTGGGATTTGGGGCTTAGTGCAAAGCAAGGGTGACCTGTTGGGGGCTAGGGCAAATTGCTTCAACAAATCATCATGATGTGTCGCAGTAAAGTGAGCACTTCAGCCTTGTTGGACTTGGAAAGACATCCATCGCAGGTGCAGGTTCCAAGTAGTCCAAACACAATTTCGATTTTGTTTTTCGTCTTGAGTGTTGAAGGTTGGAGGAAACCCTGGGAACCGCATATGTCGACCATGGCAGCATCGCTGACAACGTTTGGCGCGCCGGCACAAATCATGAAGGGCCGTGAAGAGCTCATGTCTTTGAACATGAGCTTGCAGGGTCCTGATGCAGCGACTCCCGGAAACCAGCGAGCCCCAAGCCAACAGCCATCGACTCCTCAGCAAGGAGGTCCAGCCAGTCAAAGCCCCACAGCCGCGAAGTGTCCTTCTGTTGAGGCTGACCGCGGCTCGCCGTGTCGTCAACTTGAAACTTGGCCATGTCGTGCAACATTGTGTGAAGCAACTATGCAATTCCCATGGTGGGCTCGGCAGTCCACGAGGGGCTGAGTTGCATCAACGGCCACAAAACTGACTGTCATCGTCTGGGGAGGTACCGTCCACACATTTGTCATGGCTTCGCGTGTGGCATGTCATCCTCCCTGGGCTATCATGCACAACATGGTCAGCACGACGATGGCTGACGGAACCATTTCAGAGCGCGCTATCAGAATGCCCTTCAAGTTCATTGATGGCCTTGCCATCTTCCGTCCAACCTCTTCAAAAGACGGCTGTACGTCCCTCAATAGAAGACATGAATGAGTTCAGTGCGCAGTGTCAGCCAGCCCAAGTACGCTGTGTATACATGATGCCATGTGAGGATTCCAGTCCACAGCCGTGCTGGCAAGCATGTCCACCAGAAAGGATGCTGCGTAAGGATTATTGCCCCGGGACAAGGCTCGGACGCATCCCTTCCCGGCAAGTCTTCGCATCCTGGCCGGGCACATGATATGATATGGGGGGATTTCAGGTGCATCGCACTACTGCGACGGCTCGATCCAAAAGCCTCCCCTCAACCCTAAATCGACTAAATCACACCCGGCCCGAAATCTCGTCTGCAGGCGAAGAGGGCGAAACTGCGCTGCACTACGCCGTGCGGTTTGGTCGCTTCGAGTCGGTTCGGGCCCTTCTGGACCACGGCGTGCCTGCAGACACTTGCCTGGTTGTGGGGTTCGGGTTGAGGATTTTCCGGGGCTTTGGCTGGTAGACCCTTAAACCCCAAACCAAACAATCTACCCACACCGCAGGCCTTGGCTTGAGCCGCCTCTTCGCACCTAAAAGCATCCAAGGGCCTCTTTCCATATACAGTGGCTTAGGGCACGAGAAGGGAGCCATTCTTTACGTCAACTCCTCCGCATCCCGTTTACATTCTTTGCTGGGGATGCCGGGGATGATTTTCGAACTGTCGGCCAAGCAAACCTGACCCTTTTTTGTCCATTATGGTGCCATATTCGGGAGAGAGAAGAAGATCCCGACGTAGAAAAGCCAACCGCTTAAACCCCAAGTCCTAAACTCAAAATACGGTTGGTCTGCAAAAATACCGTACATGCTGCTGGGCGCCAGGAGTTCGTCGTGGCTGAATATGAGAGGAAGACCAAAAAACAAGACAACAGTCACTATACGGTCGAGGTCGAGCAGAACCCACCCTAAACCCTAAGCCCTAAGCCCTAAACCCTAAACCCTAAACCCTAAACCCTAAACCCTAAACCCTAAACCCTAAACCCTAAACCCTAAACCCTAAACCCTAAACCCTAAACCCTAAACCCTAAACCCTAAACCCTAAACCCAACTCGTGGCTTGAAACCGAAACCCGCCAAAGCCTTCAAGGACCTCCCAGACCAGCAGGGGCGCACGCCGCTGTCTTTGGCCGAGAAGGGCCTCGTGATGCATGTGCAGACCTGCGGCATGCAACCCTGCAGCCGTGACTTAGCAGGGTTTAGGGTTTAGGGTCTAGGGTTTTAGGGTTTAGGGTTTAGGGTTTAGGAGGTTTCCGGGTTTCGGACATTTGGGGTTCGAGAGGTTTGGAGAAAAGGGTCTTGAGGAATGCACGAAGGACCTACCCAGAAGAAAGGAATGCTTAAGGGACCAAGTGAAGGTTGAGTTTGGTCTTCCACGATCTTGAATTCCGTGATGTCCGATGACTTTCGGACCTTCCGGAACATGGAGCCCGAAACCCGGTAGCTCCCCACGAACTTCCCCTAAATCCTTCGCCCTAGAACCTTATCTACGTATCTACACCTCCTTTCCCCCATTAACCCTAAACCCTAAACCCTCTTAAACCCAGCGTGCCTGTGCAGGTTGCGAGGCTCGCATCCAGATCCGAGGGGAGCTGAGGTGGAGGTTGGGTCTTCCGACTGCAGAAGCTAGGCTAAGGGGAGCCCTGAAAAAAGCCCCTCACCGCCTAAACCCTCCCTCAAAGTCCACACACTTAACCATGCTAACGATCCTCCATCCCCCTCCCCCCACCAGCCCTTCACGCAGAATATGGTTGACCCCAGATCCACCCTAAACCTTAAACCCTAAACCCTCAACAAGAACCCTTCTACACTCAACTTGCCGCCCAGAACGCGAAACCGAGGTAAGTCCGGCGCGGCGAGCGCCCCGCCGCCGCCAGCGCCGGCACAGCCAGACCCTGCATCAGAGGTGGGTTCAGGGTTCAGGGTTCAGGGCTTAGGGTTTAGGGTTTAGGGTTTCGGGGCTGTTAGGGCTGGCAGACTAGGAAAGGCGACAGCTTCGAAGCCTACTGAAAAGAGTTTAGGGTTTAGGATTCGGGGTTCTGTGGTTGCTGGCCTGGATTGGACCAAATCGCACTCTCGCTTTGGTTCCGTGCACATTCATACTCGAACTCGTACTCCTGCCTATGACCGGTGCATGTTTGTTTTGTGCTTGCACCCGTCTCACGTACTTTGACACACTCTCGGCTCTTGGAGGGGTGTCTTGCGTCTTGCGTTCGGCAAGTCTGGGGGGGACGCTTTTCTGGTATTGTACATGGGGCTCATGCCCTGAACTCCCGAGGTGATCTAATGGGGTGTTGTTGTTCTTGCGTTCATCTTGCAGTCCTTGTTCGGGTCAGGAGGGTCTTTTTTCATCTTTGGAGTCTTGGTTTGCGGTCGGGTTTGTTGAACAAAAGTTTGGGGTTTGGTCGAAGTTTTTGATTCTTGACAGAACCAGCTACTGATTTTCGTAGACTCGCAAACCGGTTAACAGGCCATTTCGGGTTTTATCTGATTGAGTCTTTCTGCAACTCTTTAAATGCGAGAACGATTCGCGCACCATAGATGACCCATCGACTTGGAGATGAAGGTGAAATGAGTTGCGGAGAATTGCGTCCCTGATCTCCGAGCACGCAAGCTACATACCTAGCCGTATAAACGCAAGCAAAGGAAGCGAGAAGCCGACTTTGCACGGCCTTATTGTTTGCTACTTTTTTTGGCTTCATTTCATCAAAGGTCCCCTCCCCTCCCTCGCCAAACATGCTTCCGAACAAAACGCTGCTGCCCAACCCGAAGCCAGCCTCCAAGGGAGTAGGGCTCCCGGCGAAAGCAGTCACGGCTGTAGATGGAGGATTTCCTTTTTAGGAGCCGGGTGGACTGCCCGTACCCACTGGGCGCGAAAGCTGAGTTGCTTGACCCGAGAGGAAGCCTTAGACGCCCTGAGCCCACCGAACACCCACCAGTTCAGTGCAGCCGGGCAAGCCCGACACCTTCTCTACTTCTCCACCCTAAACGTCTAAACCCTAACACCCTAACCCTAAACCCTAAACCCCTAAACCCTAAAACTCTAAACCCTAAAGCCCTAGAACCCCAAACCCTGAACCCTTATCCCGAAGCCCAGAGCCCCGAAAGCCCGGGAGCTGTCAGGACTCGAGTCGCTTGGCTGACTTGGGCTCTCCTAGTGCGATTCTTAAGGAGCTGTGCTGTGCTTGTTGATGTACATCTCAGGGGAAAAACATGTCATGTTTGCACCCTTCTGTCCAGGGGGGCACCTAAAGTTTTGGGTGCTCACCCATACGCCAAGGGCATATTGATTGTCAGTGAAGTGTGCAGCTTGAGGGGAATGGCTCCTTGTGCCATTTGGTGGAGGTGGCCCCTAACGTGCTGCCGGTGCGTGATGTGCGTGAGTGTGGTGGACCCTAGAGTAACTAGATTGCCCTGTCTCCGTGCTTGCATCCCTTGCTTAGTATCCTGGCGAGGGATCGCCATGAGAAGAGCTTTGGATCGTTGATGCAGGCTGTCTTGCCAAGTGTTCTATCCAACCCTTGCCGGATTGAGCGTATCTTGCTCTTTCTGGTTTGGGGGGGGCGGGCCCGTGGAGATCTGGGTGATGCAAACACGCATGGATGAGGGGCCCGCGGTTGGCCCTTTAAGCCTTCGCGCTGGAGGGGCTGCTGCGTTGTAACAAGGCCGAGCGCACCCTGGTCGACCACACACACACACACAAACATGTCATGTTTAGGATGCTTCGAAGGGCGCTAGTAGAGGTCATTTAGGCTTTGAGAAGTTTAGGTTTTCGGGGAGCGGAGTTCCTAAAAATGGCTTCGCTTAGGTACAGATGTCGAAGAGTACGACGGCACGGAAGCCAGTGATGTCTGCGAGAACGAGTACGATGAAGAAGGCCCTCTCAACCCCTAATGTTCCTAGTAGCCCTGAACTAGGGGTACCTCATTGGGGTCCTGTTTACATAGGAATCCCACTACTTGGGGGACTCCCTCATGTTCGTAAACCCCCGCATCAGTGCAAGCGGAACTTGTGAGAAGCCCAGGTGTTCGGGATTCACAAGCCGAAGCCATGGCTTCCACCCTAGACCCTAAACCCCAAACCCCAAACACTAAACGCTAAACCCTAAACCCTAAACCCTGAACGCTAAACCTTAAACCCTCAACCCTCAACCCTAAACGCTAAACCCTAAACCCTAAACCCTAAACCCTAAACCCTCAACCCTAAACGCTAAACCCTCTAGGCGAAGAGGAGGTGATTGACGTCGATGATGAAGATGACTCGCACGAGCTGTGACATTCTGGGGGGGGCTTGGAATGACTTGCCTTTCCTTGGAACCTTACCCCAAAATCTAAATCTGGGCATTTCCCAAAATAGGGATACCCCTAGTATACCCCCAAAGAGTAGAAACCTTAGCTCGGAACCCCCCAAAGAGGGTACCCTGAACTACCACCCCCCCCCCCCCCCCAAGCCCCTAGGCCTCAGTTAGGACCCATGTTGGTGGCGCTAAGCCACCAGTGCCGAAGGCACCCTGCGTCGCGAAGCAATGCTTCGGAGCATGATTCGCGCCATGTACAGCAACACTGTCCGGAACCACCCTGTCTGAAACCAAGGGTTTAGAGCAAGGAGGTCCAGATGCAACAACACAGGTTTAAGGCCCGGCTTAGGGCTCCTAAGGGAGTCGGTATACCTACACCATAGTATTCCCCTATGGCCCCTAAAAAACTATTCTATAATAACCCCCCGCTCAAAAACAGAAACCTATTCTAATTATGAAGGCCCTTATCTTGTAAGGTTTTTCTGTCCTGGATATAGGGGGATATAGGGTACCTCCCCCTATTTTAACCCTTAAGTGGTCCATAATACAGGGGATAGAGGTGCCTCATTCCCTGATTCCCTACTAAGAACCCGCAAGCCAACGGGTGGGGGGGACACGCCGCAGTCTGGGACAGAGATGCGGATCAGAAAGGGGCTGCCAGACCTCAAAATTCCAACCCGGGACAAGGCCTTTCAGACTTCGGGTTTAGGGTTTGGGGTTTAGGGTTTGGGGTTTAGGGTTTAGGGTTTAGGGTCATTTGTTGAAAGATCTTTCTACAATATTCCACTGCCCTTCAGACATTCTCATTGTTGATTTCGGGCTTGCAGGCTTCATCTGTTTCGTAGGCCGTAGTCCAGGTCGGGTTCTAAGCCACCGCCCTGCATTGCTGAAACGTCGCAGGTTTAAAACGTTGAACTAATACATGCATAATAAGATTATGTGGGTTGTTTGTGTTTCCAAGAAAGAAAAGGGTGAACATAAATGCAACCGCTCAAGATAAGAATGCACAACGCTGGGTTAAGTGATATAATCGATGAACTAGATTATTGTCAACATGTACGTACGTATTCGAAACAGTTTAGATTGTTGTTTGAGCTTTATCAGTTACAGTGCTTAAAGTATTATTTTGTGTATATTTGACAGTGTATAGTATTAATGTATGTCTCGACATCATTTTGAGCCCGTGTTTTGAGCCCGTGTTGCTATACCATAAGCACACCATAAGAGTTTGGCAATGGTTAATTAATTAATTTGGAGGTGCTCCTTGCACTTCATATCTGTTGTTGCCCGATTACGCGGAAAACAGTTATACATAATAACATTTAGAATCATATGAACACAGTGTCATATATCAAGAAGATATTTGAACATATATATATATAGATATATGTATATGTATATATATATATATATATGTGGCATACTAATTACGCGGAAAACGCTTCTACAAAAACATTTAGAATCATATGAATACAGTGACATATATCAAGAAGATATATGAATTGAAAGTTGACTAAGTAGATTGCTCAAAAAAGTCATGAGTTAACAAGAAAGTTATATAGAATATGAGAGCGTTTTGATAATGAAGTTGTTTGTGATGTTAGGTTCGATATATCTCGTTGAGAAGGTAGCATTGCAGAAGATAAACAGTTAATGAGACAATAAACCCTAAACCCTAAACCCTAAACCCTAAACCCTGAACCCTGAACCCTAAACCCTAAACCCCTAAACCCTGAACCCTAAACCCTAAACCTTAAACCCTAAACACTAAACCCTAAACCCTAAACCCTGAACATACCCAGATGTAAAGCCGAAGAATGCTTCTAAGTGGATGAATAAAAGTATTCAGGACATTGAGAAAGAATTTGGCGACCTAATCAATCCAATATAATCAACCAATAACGGTACTATTTCAAGAAATGGTATTGCTCTTGCTTCTTATTCCTACCTTGTACCGAAATATTTTTCCTCTTATAGACATATATTTAGAGAAGACCATTTCCAGTTTCTGCAGCTAGGGATTTTGGGTTGGGTGTTGTGGGTGTTCCATCGGGTGGGGCATGCTATGGGGTTGAGCCCGTCATTTTTCACGGAAATATGCGTTGGTGGGTTGGAGGTTGAGGCATGGGTTGCTATGGTTTGGGTTCTAGGGGGTGGTGCATGATTAGAAAATGGAAATGGCCTCCGCGGACTAAATCCGCAATCTGAGAGCCACTCCTTTTCGCACAGCTGTTCCCGCCGTGGCTTCCAGTATCGCCACTATGCCCAAGCCCCATATAGCATACGACCCAACATGTAACCTAGTGATGGTTTTGGGCTTCTAGGGCTCCAATCCACTCCAGCTGAAGATGGCTTAAGGCTCTTGAGGCTTGCAGGGCTGTGGCTTAGCCCTTAGTCCCGGTGGACGTTCCGGCCTGTTGCAAGAAGGTTTTAGGGTTTAGGGTTTAGGGTTTAGGGAAAAGGGTGTTTGGCGACACTGGGGTTTCCACACACCTTCTTGAAAAGCCTGCACACGCTTGACAGCGACCACTTTAAGCCGTAATCTCGGGCTCGGCATAGTTCTTACTTGCATTGACTTATGGTCCCTTTCTCATTATACGTAAAGTATCCACCCAAAAAAGCTATTCATCCACCCAAAAAAGCAATTGATCTAATTATTAGGGCCCCTACATTAGGCTTTTTGGGGTGGGTTGAGTGGACCAGACCCCCAAGCCGCCCATCTCCCGGCTCAAAGAGAGTTCGGGGAGAGCAAGCCCTTCAGGTAGCCCAACAGCCTCTACACCACACCAGGCTTTAGGGTTTAGGGTTTAGGGTTTAGGGTTTAGGGTTTAGGGTTTAGGGTTTAGGGTTTAGGGTTTAGGGTTTTTGTGGGCTCACAGAGTGAGGAGCTTAGGTCCCCAGGAGGTGCGGCTCCTCCCTTCCTTGCGCGAGTGGCGTGTTATTGGGTGGGCACGGCCCGACGAGATCGGACGCCATGGTGCTGCTTGAAGCTTTTGGCCTGGCCTCCAAGGAGTTACAGCCCTGTGGTTGTAGGCTTCGGGTTTAGGGTTTGGGGTTTAGGGTTTAGGGTTAGGCCTTCGGGTTTGAGGGGTCTAGGGGTTTGGGGGTTTAGGGTTTGGGGTTTAGGGTTTAGGGTTTTTGGGGGTTTGGGGGTTTAGGGGTTCTCCCCCCTCCCCCCCGCCATGACATGAGCCCTTTTGTGACCCAATACTCGTACAGGAGATCCAAAAGGACCCATAACTCAGATAAGCCAACTGGCTTCTAGGAATTCCCCACAGTTCCCCAGGGCGTTCAACCTTCAAGCAGCTTCTTACGTTATCTGCTGAATCTGCTTTCGCCTTTCTACTGTGTGGATAGAACTCTGAACCCTAGACCCTAAACCCTAAACACCCTAAACCCTAAACCCTAAACCCTAAACCCTAAACCTTAAACCCTAAACCCTAAACCCGAAACCCGAAATCCTAAACCCTAAACCCTACAAGCCCCGAAGTCCTTAAGAACCCATAACCCTGATGCCACAAACTGCACGCAGCCGACAGCTGCGGCCAGGAGCTCTTTGACTACAACCGGGAGAACTACAAATTCGACCAAGAGCAGCGCTTGGAGAGGGACATGCAAAGGTGCCCGGGTTTAGGGTTTAGGGTTGAGGGAGACCTCTTTGAAAATGGGTTTAGGGCGATTGGGGGGAAAGGGGGGTTCAGATGCAAAACAGCTCAGTTTTCGACCTTAGTATGTAGGTGCCACGGTGCGCTTGTTTTCGGCTGATCATGTTGCCAGGGAGCCTTCAAGGCAGAGATCTTCCGTGAGGAATTGGGTGTTTGTGGGGCTGGGCCCAGTTTTGGGAGCTTCCGTTCATGAAGCATGCCATGCCCGTTCCCTACTACTTCGGCGCTGCTACCACACTCCAAATCCAAACCCGGCAATGCACCCTAAACCCTAAACCCTAAACCCTAAACCCTAAACCCTAAACCCTAAACCCTAAACCCTAAACCCTAAACCCTAAACCCTAAAAACATCTAAAACCCTAACCCTCAACAAAGCAACCCTAAGCTCTGCGAAAGTGCCTTGGCATTCATTCAAAAGAGTCGAGACTCACACAAGACATCGTCCCAAGCCCTGCAGGGTAGAGATGCAGATCGAACGCTTCGACCTCTTCCGGGAGGATATCGAGGATTTAGTCAAGCTGACTGTGGACAAGATGGAGACTTGTTCTGCTTGGTCCTGAGGGTTTAGGGTTTAGGGTTTAGGGTGAGGGCTTTTTGGGATGCTAGGCGGTTGGGGCTAGGTTTCGGCATGAGGGACCAGCGCAAAAAAAGAAGTCGAGGACATGTATCACATCGTCGGCGCCCTCTTCCTGAGTTTCACCGCGCTCGTGTACTGCGAGGGCATCATCCAGGGGCCCCAGCCACCGTTTTTCATGGGCCAGCACCATGGATGAACACTGGAGGCTGCAATTTCTTCGTTGAGGATGGTGCTTGTGGGATGTTCCCCCTTATGCTAAGAGCCCTTAATCGGGATTGTAGTAGCTATTACGATGCCTATGAAGGGCTGGGTAGCATAAGGGGGAACATCCCAATGGTGCTGTTGTTTCGAGACATACCCACACTGCCGGAGATGTCCAAAAGACTTGTGAGTCGAGGGGGGGCCGCCTTCAAGGAGCAAGACACCCGGACCCCTCTTCCCCAGCCCACCAAGCATGGAATACCCCAAGCCCCTGAACCCTAAACTTTAACCCGAAACCCGAAACCCTAAACCCAAAACTCTCCCACCCAAGCCGGTGAGGTATTTCCTCACCGTCGCCGCCTCTTTTGTCTACCTCCTCTTGGCTGTCTGGCTGTCCATGTGCCTGGGATTCATGTTCCTGGTTGCCCGCCCGCGACCCAACATCCCGAGCCCTCATCCCGCGAAAAAACTTCCCGGACTCTAAACCCTTAGCGCCTCCGAAACGCGCTGCATGCCACACGAAGTGGACTCGAGTTCAGCCAGCTCGAAGGGCAACTTGAACGCCCCTCCCTGTGCTTTCGGACTTTAGGCCAGCCCTGCGAAGCGAGCAAAAGCCAAGCTTGTGTCCTGCATACTCTCGTGTAGCACTCATGCGCAAACACTTTCCGACACCTCCTCCAAGCCTTATTTTAATTGCGGCGAGCTACATCCTGATGATGGACCTAACCCCCGAAATTCCAAACCCCAAACCCCAAAGCGGCTTGACATTGAAGGTTCATTCAAGGCAGTTGGAGGCATGTCAATGTAAACTCTGCTGAGTGACTTCGTGTCAGCTATGCTGGAGCGGAAAAGCCCTAAACGCTAAACCCTAAACCCTAAACCCTAAACCCTAAACCCTAAACCCTAAACCCTGAACCCAAAACCCAAGATGAAGGTACGCCTCCATTGCATCCCACAGCTTCGGCGTGCGTCTGAGGAGCTGGGGGGTGCCTTTGGGGCCCTTTGTGGTTTAGGATTTGGGGTTTAGGGTTTAGAGTTTGGGGTTTAGGGTTTAGGGGTTTGTTTCTACGTCCCTGTTATAGATGACCTAAGTTTCGCCTGTTGATGCAACCCTTGCTTAAGGCAAGAAGGCCCTCGTTTCAGGTGTTGCCGGCAGTTCCTGCTCAGTCCGTGCTTCAAAGCAAGGGTTTAGGGTGTAGGGTTTACATCTTGGCGTGTTTTTCAAAGGCAAGAGGGGCAGCAAAGGGCTTCGGAGGACGTAGGATTTCATGTTGGTTTGCAGCTTTGAGGCTTTGAGGGCCCCTGCGCTCTGGTGGAAAGGGAGGCGCCTTGGGCAACGGCCCTAAGGGGAAGCCGCATCTTGCGAGGACTCGATACGTGCGACTTCCAATTCCCAATCTCTCGCAGACCCTCGGAGGATTTCGAGCGATGACAGGTCAAGCTAGCATTGTCCACATCTCAAGCTAGAAGTGCCTGTAAGCACCTGGGGTTGTACAGGGCGGGTTTAGGGTTTAGGGTTTAGGGTTTAGGGTTTAGGGTTTAGGGTTTAAGGTTTAGGGTTTAGGGTTTAGGGTTTAGGGTTTAAGGTTTAAGGGTAAGGGTCCGGGGTTGTAGGAACTGACCTGGAGGTTTAAAGCTCAGCTTCTCAGAGCTCGCGAGTCCAGAGCTGATTTGCTTGGGTTCAAAGGGTGCTTAAACCATGAACCCCAATGGGTTTAGGGTTTAGGGTTTAGGGTTTAGGGTTTAGGGTTTAGGGTTTAGGGTTTCTTGAATATTCTTGAGTGGTGTGGTTGCAGTTGAAGCAGGGGGTTTTACATGCTCAACCCATATGACCTCAAACATCGTGGGGTGGATCGTCTATCGACGGAGGCCCAACTCCTCTGTTTTAAGCCCGCCGCCCAAGACCCCACGAGACTTTGCCGCATCTTGAGCGCTTACAATGCCCGAACAGCCGTCCATCTTCTACATCCCCCTTGGGAATTACTCACATAAACCCCAAGAGGATATTTAAAATAGTGTTTTTTATCAAGGTTCTAAGGGGAGTATAGTCTTGCCCCTGGATCCGAGTGTTGCAGCTCCCGACGCCGCTTGCTCCAAGGATTCAGAGCCTCACCACGAAGCTGTCAGATTTCGAGCAGCAGGGCATTTCCAAGGCAGGGTCCAAGGGAAGGAAAGGGTTGGTTTCATGTTTTTTGGGCCGGCGGGGCTTTGGTGAGCAACTGAGTCTTGACCGCGTCTGCTGCAATCCCCCCTCCCCCCTCGCCCGCCAGGTGATGCGCATTCCGTTCGGACCACAAGGGGCGCAAAAGTGGGAGCTGGAAGCAGAGAGACCTGACGAATGTCTGAGGTGACCCTTCGGTGGGATTAGGGTTCGTTTTGTGGAGCTTGTTTAAGGGTAGTTTCAGTTCTGATGAAAGGGCCCTTCATTTGTGTAGGGTATATATATATATATATATATAATTGAGGAGCTCTTGATTGTGAACCCTTGTTGCTAGCCCTGGCGAGCCTCCAAGAGTCATCCGACCCCCCTAAATCCTAAACCCTAAGCCCCTAAACCCTCAACCCCTAAACCCGCACCCTCAACCCTCAACCCTCAACCCTCAACCCTCAACCCTCAACCCTCAACCCTAAACCCTAAACCCTAAACCCTAAACTGCCCTAAACCCAGGCGGAAGGCAGAAGAGCAAGGGCAGCCCTCGGCCCAGTCGTCGGGGAACCAGCGCGCAGCCATGCCGGAGGCATCTTGGGCTTCTTGGGGGTTTAGGGTTTAGGGTTTAGGGTTTAGGGTTTAGGTTTTCAGGTTGCAGGAGCTTCCTTCGGTCTTTTTGGGGCTATGTCTTTGCCCGTCTGAGGTCCTGGCATCGAGGGCCTTGTTTCCCCCAAAAGGAAAGAAGGTTTCGGGTTTAGGGTTTAGGGTTTAGGCCTCCGGAGTACTCTTGTGGCTGCGGTTGCTGTCGGATCCCAGAAAACAGCCAGTTTCCTCAGGTTGATTCGGGTTTCGCCATGAATGACGGCCAAAAAAGATGTGTCGACGACAGCCAGCCTTGAATCCGAAGTTCGAGAATCCTACTTGTGTTACCCTAAACCCCAAACCCCAAACCCCAAACCCCAAACCCCAAAGCCTAAACCCTAAACCCTAAACTTGCAGAAACCCCTAAACCCCTAAACCCCTAAACCCCTAAACCCCGAAACCCCTAAACCCCTAAACCCCTAAACCCAAAACCCCTAGAGCCCACACACTTTCCAAAGAGCAGGTTCGCCTGGCCGATCAGGGAGACATCGGATTCGGGCGGGAGGACCTGGCCGTTCGAGAGGATGAGGGCACAGGATTGTTTAGTTCAATCTTGGGATGTTCCTCCTTGTACTACCAGTCCTTAACAGGAATTATAGTACCCCCGATGATCATCCCTCTGCAGGACTGTGAGCATAAGAACATCCCAATCCCAATCCGAAGCCAGGACATTCTCATGCAGGCAGCTGCCAGTGTGCCCGGCAAGCACGTGGAGCTCTTCCGGAAGCTTCAGGCTTGGCACTTGTGACAGCTGGCCTGCGACAGGCCCTGCACTCTAGATGCGGTTTCGTTCTTGCCCTAAACCCTGACGCCCTAAAACCCAAACCTTAAACCCCACATCCACTGCAGAGTGCTTCGTCCGGCTATGCGGGTGCCAACAACCCCACAGCCCCTAACTTGAGCTCAAAAGTCCTTCCCCCTCCCCCCCCCAAACCCTAAACCCTAAACCCTAAATCCCAAACCCTAAACCCTAAACCCTAAACCCTAAACCCTAAACCCTAAACCCTAAACCCTAAACCCTAAACCCTAAACCCTAAACCCTAAACAAGTGCAAGGCCAAGTGGCAGTGCTACGATGCCTATGCTCGAATCTCCATGGCGCTGGGCGTGAACCAGTGCCTCGGACGTCAAGAATGCGGAAGTTTGGTCTCCCAGAGGTTCTCTGCCCTTGGGTTCTCTGCCTTGTTGTCTGAAGGTGAAGTATCCTACAGGGAAACCGACCAGGCGCGGTAATTAATGTAGAGAACTGCAATTTGTATGTAAGGTACCCCAAAAAGAGAGCCTACCATGGAACGCTGACCACATGTTGGAGGGGGGTCAAGGAATCGGAGTTGCGCGGAGGTCAGATGATTGTTCAAGGCACCTGCTTTGACTGCGCTCGATCTTTGCGCAGTAGACCCATGCCGTGCCTGCCCCTAAACCCTAAACCCTAAACCCTAAACCCTAAACCCTAAACCCCTAAACCCTGAAGCCTCAAGCGCCTGCAGAAGTGGGGGGTTTAGGGTTTAGGGTTTAGGGTTTAGGGTTTGGGGTTTAGGGTTTAGGGTGGGGACCTTGAGGATGATCCAGTCCGTGAACTACTTCGTGGTTGGCTTCACGATGATTCAGACCTGCTCGCCCAGCCTCCCGTCTCGAACCAGGGCTCAGGGGTCTTTCAGGGTTTAGGGTTTAGGGTTTGGGGTTTAGGGTTTAGGGTTTAGGGTTTAGGGTTTAGGTGTTAGTGAGTTGAGTGCTTGTATCATGATTCAACCCCCAAACCCTCAACCGTCCGTCGAGCCATGCGAATGCGGGTGCCTCAAGCCCAAACCCTTCACGGGTGGGGAAGAAAACCCTAAACCCTAAACTGGCAAACCCCAAACCCTAAGCCTGAACCCTAAAGCAAACTACGACAAACTACGAAGCAGGCAACGGCTATGCAGCGACCATCATCTTCCAGGGCTGTACCTTCGGCCTGGCTTTCTTGGACATCGCGGGGCTGAAGAAGTGGAAGACGCCCGGCCGTCGGGGCTTTGGGAGTCGGTGCTTCGAGCCATTGTTGGGTGGCTTCGGGCTTTAAGGGTTTCCTTGAGATGCGCTTGTTCTTGCAGGTTTCGGTTTGGGATTTAGGGTGTGGCTTTTTGGAGGGGCTTCACGGGGCTTGGGGAAACAACGTGCGGGTCTGTGTGTGTGTGTGGATCAGGAGGCTGAGGCGAGTCGGCATTTCTTCAGATGGGGGACCCCTTCGAAAACGATTGGCCTAAACTTTAACCCCTAAGCCCTACACTCAGGCAGGTGGCAAACTATGGCAAAAAACGAGCTCCAACCCCCTAAACCCGAAACCCTAAACCCTAAACCCTAAAACCCGAAACCCTGAATCCTAAAACCCTAAACCCTAAACCCTAAACCCTCAACCCCCTTAGCAACCCGGCCCAGGATTTTCGCCCTTCAGATCGTCGGCGCCATGCCCATGGTGAATCCTGGGCTGCCTATTATGCCAGTGACGTGATTCCAGGGCAGTCAGGGTGTAAAGGGGTTTAGGGTTCAGGGTTCAGGGTTTAGGGTTTAGGGTTTAGGGTTTAGGGTTTAGGGTTTAGGGTTCAGGGTTTAGGGTTTAGGGTTTAGGGTTTAGGGTTTAGGGTTCAGGGTTTAGGGTTTAGGGTTTAGGGCTTAGGGGGCTCTAGCGGCGCTGCTTCGGCCCGCTTTTTCGACCTCGTGGCATGCTGCGTGCAGGCGAGTCTGCAGCACGGCCCATGCCAAGGGAGGGTGGGGACCCTAAGTAAGCACCAATCCAGGCAACGGAAAGTCCACAAGCGGAAGTTGCGCCGTAAGCCTCAATCCAAGCCGGCTTCCCCTTGGTGTCATCCCTGGATCATCCGCCAAGGTCCCATAGAAGACCCTCATGAACCAGAGTCAGAGTTGTTTATGCACCTTTTTGACTACGCAGCTACTGGAAAGCAAGGACCTGGTTATGTGACGCAGAGATTTGAGAGGGTTCCGAGAGTCCTTCGGCCGTTTACAGCCGGGCCAACCCTTGACCCCCCCCAAGTGTCCCCAAACCCTAAACCCTAAACCCTAAACCCTAAACCCGAAACCCTAGACCCTAAACCCTAAACCCTAAACCCTAAACCCTAAACCCTAGGAAGCCCAGCGACTGAGGATCCTGGTTGCCATGCTCACGGTGGCCAACAGAGGGCGGTCGGGAAGCTGGGCGCCAACTAGTAAAGCATGCAACCGCCGAAGTCTTAAACCCCTAAACCCTAAACCTGAATCATAGCAGGTCCGGGGAGACATGTTGATGCATGCGGTTGAGGCCCCTGTGAAATCGGAAAGGTTAATCAGCTGTTGGATAGGGGCTGTTGCTGTAGCTCCGTGCAAGTCTGCGCAGACGGCCCCGAAACACTGAATGCCGTTTTCCCCGTGCCGTAGAGCCCTGCGATGGTTGAAAGCAACCCTCTAAACCCCTCTAAACCCCTATAATCCCTACAATCCCTATAAACCCTATAAACCCTATAAACCCTATAAACCCTATAAGCCCTACAAACCCTATAAGCCCTATAAACCCTATAAACCCCCACAAACCCCCACAAACCCTATAAACCCTCTGACCTACAAAGCCCTACGTACCTTGAAATCCCTGGAGCTACCGAGGCAGCGAGTCCATCGCCCTGCTGTCGTCTGCCTTCTACGCCTCCCCCCTTTGTGCCTTCCTGGAGGTCGAATTCCCAGAGTGGGGAGTTCTTTCGGGGGTAATATAGGGTTTAGGGTTTAGGGGTAGGAATAAGTACTAAAAATATTGCCGCAGGGTCCCTTTGTAATTATAGGGCTGAGTGCCGTTCCTCCACAACACATCTGTTGTGTACAAAAGCCCCGGGCCCTACTTGCAAGGCCTGTTGCCATCCCCAAAATCCCTAAAAAGCCCAAGCCCGCGGCCTTCAGCAAGTCAGCAAGCTTCAGCCCCTTTTGCACTGGAACCCTAAACCCTAAACCCTAAACCCTACACCCTAAACCCTAAACCCTAAACCCTAAACCCTAAACCCTAAACCCTAAATGCTTCGAAGTGTGATTGGAGTGCGACTGGTCTTCAGTGTGGTTTGGTCGCGGTGGCATAGGGCTGGATCCTGAAGAGCCATTGCCTTGCGAGCCGGAACCTCCCAAGGTTTCTTTTGCATAGGGGCTTGTTGCAGACTCCTCCGTGATTTTTGTCCGTGTCCCATACCTCACATTTTGATTCCCGTACTTGTTGAGAGCGGTCTGGGCTGCTTGAAACTGGGAGACATGAATCGCAAAAATCCCGAAAGCACAACCTCGTCACACCGCTTTTTGGGGCAGGCGATCTGGCTGGAGCTTTTCATGATGACGGCCAAGCCCACCGACGACGAAGCCTCCCTGCCTCGGAAGCTGCTCGGTTGCCCTGGGAAGCTTTGAACTTTCAGGGTTGGGAGGAAGTTTAGGGTTTGGGTGCTGGGGGCCCCAGGCCCTAAACCCTAAACCCTAAACCCTAAACCCTAAACCCTAAACCCTAAACTCTAAACCCTAAACCCTAAACCCTAAACCCTAAACCCTAAACCTAGAGTGTGTGTGTGTGGGATGGCCGCAGAAAGCAAACTACTCTGACCGCACTTCAATGGGCCGAAGGGTCGAGCAGAATCGCGTGGGATAACCCTAAACCCTAAACCCTAAACCCTAAACCCTAAACCCTAAACCCTAAACCCTAAACCCTAAACCCTAAACCCTAAACCCTAAACCCTAAACCCTAAACCCTAAACCCTAAACCCAGTATGGTACCCCTAGTATACAAAGGTTCCGCACGGTGCTCTTCCTGGATGTCTTCGGCGATGCCGCCTTTGATCCCACCGAAGCCGAGCATGCGGCGGCTCCTAAGCCTCGGCTTAGGGTTTAGGGTTTAGGGTTTAGGGTTTAGGGTTTAGGGTTTAGGGTTTCGGCATCGTTGTTAGGAAGCCCTGAGCCCCAAGGCCTAAGCCCTTTGCAGAGAGTGCTTGCGGAAACCCTGAGCCCCAAACCCCAAACCTCACAAGCACACAACCGGGGTTTGGATGATTTAGGGTTCAAGGCAATCTGCACATGCCGGGTCATGCCGAGCATGCGGACTGAAGCATTTGCCTCTCTTGGGTTCCCGAACAATTTCTGCGGCAGTGATATGATGATGGGTGCCAAAGAGGGGCCTAGCTGCAGGAAGCTGTCACGCGTTTGTTTTCTTAAAAGGGTACCCTGTTGTCAGGGGTTGTGGTCCTAGAACCAGGATGATCGTGCTTTGGGGCCTATTTGGGATCTGCAAGGCCGCACTTAGGCAACTTGCAGCGGGGCCAGAAGGTAAGAGGGAGAGAGATAGAGAGAGTGGCAGGGACGGAGTGGGGGAGAGAAAAGGGAAGACAGAGAGCCCAGGAGCGAGCGAGAGCGATGTAGATGTATTTTAAATGATTGCAATTTCTTATGTACATTATATGATATGATATGATCTTTCCCTTGTACTATATTGTATTGCATGATATTATATCATACCCCCACAAGCAAGGTGACTGCTGGTGTGGACGGGAAGATGGAGGAGCTGCGGGATGACGCCGCAAAGCGGGAGGTGCCATTTACCCAAGACCCGAAGCACGATTCGGGGGCTGAAAAGGGTCCGGGAAGTCTAGAGCTTAACTGTCAAATTGTTACGGTTTACGGTTTAGGGTTTAGGGTTTAGGGTTTAGGGGTGTGAAAGGTCTACGGGATTCGGTGTAGGGGTTCCGGTTTAGGCTGGAGCGTGAAGCTCAAAGGCGTAGCGACGACTTGCGCCACAAGTTAGAGCGTCGAGCCTGCGAGGCCCCAAGCACTACACACATACAGAGCCTCAAACACAACAGAAATCACCTGAGGTTTGCGCAAGTTTATTTGACCCGAAGTTCCGGCTGAGGGTTGCTGAAGGGCTCCCATGCGACAAGCCAACCGAACAATGACATCCATGCGGCTCAAGGCTGATTGGGTCAAACATGAGCTTGCATGGTCGCGCGGACATGGAGATCCGGAGCTCGAGTTCTTTACTTCGTGTTTAGGGTTTAGGGTTTAGGGTTGCTTAGAACATCAAGCCAGCCATGGACATTGTCGCCAACGAGCCGGACGTTGAGCGCGTTGAGGCGCAGCCGCAAGCCGAGCCTGCGACTGAGACGCTGCCAGTTGAGAGAGCTACTTTTCGGCGCCGCTCCAGCAGCAAGAGTAGCAAAGGCAGCAAAGGCAGCAGAGGCCGAGACAATGCACGCAAGCTCTCTTCTTTCGAGCAGGAGTACGACGCCTTGGAAGAAGCGGCCTGGGCGAAGTTTGACGAGTCCCACCCCGACTTCTTCCACGTCTTGGAGTTCGCCAAAGATGGGGGCTTCTCAGAGGTCCACGAGCTCTGGGACAGCAGCAGGTACTTCAGGGCAGCGCTCGCGCTGATGATGCTGGTGGCGAATGTGGGCACCATTGTGGTCAACGATGGGGGCTACCTGGTCCACGCGCTCCACCTGGCTGATGAGCAGCAGGAAGATACCTTGGGAATCCATCCCGTGGACGACAACGTCAGAGCCATCCAGAACGACTACATGATCTCTGGCTTCCTTGTGGATGAAGGCTTCTTGGCCTTTGCACAAGTGGCAGGATGTGGCAGTCGAATCCACAGCCCACGGATTGCCCTGATCTGCGCCATCGAGCTCGGCTTGCTGGCCCTCTTGATGATCAAGGCCGTCCGCTGCTTTCTGTCGAGCTTCCTTGAGGAGCTCGAGCGTGTTCGATGGACCAAATCCTGCACCTTTTGGTGGGAGATCTTTCCGGAGCTCTCTTCCTTCAGCGCCATGCGGCTCCTGCACTTCGCGACTCCCTCCGTGGTGCTGTGTGACGTGTATTCCTTCGCAGCCTATGCCGGTTCGCGTGCCGAACTTGATGGCTATGCCACGGGCTTGCGTTTGTGGTTCGTCTTCGTTCTCAAGAAGCTGATGTGCTTGGTCGTTGGTATTGACGCCTTCCTCTTCAAAGTCCGCGTGGCCTACAGCGACATCCACAAACACGAGCTGGGCCCCTGGAGCTTTCTCAGCCTGACGATGTTCATTGTGCAGGTCCTGGGTATTGTCCAACTCTCCATCTTTGTGCGTGATCGCATCTTCCTCTTCATCTTCGGAGGCGAGGACAGCATAATGCAGCCTGCAGAAAGGGCTTTGAAGAACATTTGGCTGGCCATGGTTGTCCGCAAGCTCTACCAGCTCTTCGAGTGGCCCGAAGCCACGGCCATTCTCATGACCTTTGACGAGGATGATTTTCAGAAGCTGGTGCTCAATGAGAATGGGGACATCCACGAGAGCCTCATGTCTACTTCCGTGGGCTCTTGGGACCCCTTGACTGAGTCGGCGTCGGCCTTCGCCAGTGAGGGCCTGCTGAGCCGAATCTCCGAAAGCGACAAGGAAGCTCAGGGGTGCTTGGAAATAGTTTTTTAAATTTTTTGGGTACTTTAATTCCTAAGAAACAGCATAAGAATTTATGTTTGCTAGGGTTCCAAGTTCAGTACAGGAAGGGGGCCAGTGAAGTGGCTCGGCTTCCGGGCGGGCGGCAGTGTCACTCGGCGGCGTGTCCTCGCTTCTCACAGCTGCTTCCAGCAAGAATCCTAGGCAGGATAAGGGGGACCCTTCTTCTGGCTCTCTTTAACAGGGACCTTATTCAGAGGGTCCTTCTCCCCAGGGTCCCCCTCATCCTATCCCCTGAAGAAAGAAGCCCCCGGGGGTGCCTCTTCCTCAGCTCCCCGTGGTCAATGACTTACTTGCCAATGCCTGAAAGTGACTTTTCCAGCTGACAGAAGATCAGCATTGCAGAGTAGGGCTGTGAGACCACAGCCGGCTCCTGCGTAATTAAACCGGGTTCCGCATAGCTGGGGAGCTCACTGTAGCTTCTCTGCAAGCAACAAGGCTTGGTCCGAAAGTCCAAAGCATGTGTGTGTGGTGCAAGAAGCTATGGGTGCTGCCCCGATTCATTACGTTTTGGAGGTGCAGCTGGCCCCTCTCTTGTCTCCGTCATCCCCATGCAGAATCACTTCAGTCTCTCCATGCAGTATGCATCTCAAAATTCTTTGCAGTGGTGCAAGATGTAGGCACTTCATCAGGTTGGTCGTGCAACACTTGTCAACTCCGGTTTCTGTGGCAACCATTGCAACATTCGGATGACGCATGGCATCACAAGCCTGCTGCACAATTCAGTTTCGCGCCTCACTGCTGGCCTAGGCCAGCAAGCGCAATAAGCCACCCGGCATGACATAACCGATCTGTTGTCTCGACTGCCAGCACAATACTGGAGGGACAAGGCGCGGGAACCAGCCAGCCAGAGAAAGTTGCACATGGCTGTGCTGCTGCTCTCCTGCATTCTTGCAACTCAGAGGGAAGATGCAGAGAAGCAAAGAAGAAGGTAGGACACCAGGACCAGACATCCAGGACAGGTGCTGCCACCATGTCCCCAATCGGCATAAGCATACGGTAGTAAACCCTAAAGCCTAGCAGGAGTGCCGCTGAAAGCCCTAAACTGTAAACCCTAAACCCTAAACCCTAAACCTTAAACCCTAAACCCTAAACTCTAAACCCTAAACCCTAAACCCTAAACCCTAAACCCTAAACCTCAGAACACCAAATAACAGCGAAGCTGAGGTGCAGCAGCGGCAAGCGGCGAAAGCGGGTTTTGCCCTGGCAGCGGCTCAGGGAGCGTTCCCTGGGTGCCGTTTTACACAAAGGGTTTACGAAAAGGGTTTAGGGTTTAGGGTTTGGGGTTTTGGGGTTTTGGGGTTTTAGGGTTTTAGGGTTTTAGGCTTTTAGGCTTTTGGGGTTTTGGGGGTTTGAGGGTTTTGGGGTTTTGGGGTTTTAGGGTTTTAGGGTTTTCGGGTTTTAGGGTTTTGGGGTTTTGGGGGTTTTAGGGTTTTGGGGTTTTGGGGTTTTAGGGTTTTAGGGTTTTCGGGTTTTAGGGTTTTAGGGTTTTAGGGGTTTAGGGTTTTAGGGTTTTCGGGTTTTAGGGTTTTAGGGTTTTAGGGTTTTTGGGTTTTGGGGTTTTGGGGTTTTGTTTTTTTTTGGTTGTTGGGTTGTTGGGTGGTTGGGTTGTTGGGTTTTTAGGGTTTAGGTTTTACAAGGTGTTGAGGGGGTTTGGGAGGGGAGAGTGCAGCGAATTAAATCTGGTTGCTCAAGCCCAGATGCAAAGGGTTGGGGGTGGGGGGGTTTAGTCTGGGGGGGTGTGCCCTGCAGTCTCATAGGCCTGGATGCAAACAAGATTTTTTTGAGAGTTTTAAGGTTATTTGGAGCATAGCCTTGGGTTCCCGCAGCTCCGCACATCCTTGACAAATTTCCATTTTGGATCTGGATGCAACAAAAACGGGACTGGGTTCCGCCCGCCTTCTGTTGATGGACACGGCTTCCGCGCTTCAGGGCTTGAAAACCGCAGCAATCACACATCCACAAATCTCCCGCGCGCGGCAGAAAGTCTCAAGGCCCCCAGCTCGCCTGATGAGGGTGGAACTGAAAGTTGCGCAACAAGGAACCCACTTGGCTCCTTCTGCATGCCAATCTTGGGTGAAAAGCTAGTGCTCTTCTAAAAAACCCTAAACCCTAAACCCTCTCCCCTGAACCCTAAACCCTCTTCCCTAACCCAAAACCCAAAACCTTAAACCCGAAACCCGAAACCCGAAACCCTAAACCCTAAACCCTAAACCCTAAACCCTAAACCCTAAACCCAGCAAAGCTTATGCGTGTCAGGGCTTCTCGCACACACATCCGCAAGCAGGTTGCGATGCTGGGAGGCCGTGCCACAGGAGCTCCTGACGGGCGTGCAGGCTCCCAGAGCTGCGCCTTTAGGGTTTAGGGTTTAGGGTTCAGGGTTCAGGGTTTAGGGTTTAGGGTTTAGGGTGGGTTTTCAGGTCCTCCTCAGTCCATGCATTAAAGCAAACAGGGTTGGGGCTTGGGGGGGTTTCAGGGTTGTGGGATGTGAAGCCCTAGTCCCTGAACCCTAAACAGGCGTCGCAGCTCCAGAACCTCCGGCAGGACTTCCCACGACAACACCCGCATGCTACATTCTGCAGCATAGTTTAGTGTCATGCTGACAGTATTCTGCTGATAGTACTGCGTGATTATAGTATGTTGATATAGAAACGGCCAGTTACGCACTATCGAGCCCTTTCAATCCCCTGCACTTCACATCCTCAAGAGGAATACAGCATGTGGCGGGAGCGCTACCACGGGTGCTACTCCAAGATGAAGACCCGTCGGGGCGTGCCCTACGATGCTGCGCAGCAGGACCGGCAAAACTAGGTATGCCGGGGGAGCTTGGAATGCTTTCGTGAGCCTCGTGGCTGTCAGTAGCCCATATCCCAGAATTCAAAAGCAGAAGGTGGGGACTTCACACCCTTAGCCGTAAACCCTAATTCCTCCTCTTTACGATGGAAGAAGAGCCCTCTGTATTCCCCTTGCCTGTGAGAAAAAGAGAGAGAGCGAGAGAGAGAGGGAATAGGACTGAGGGAATAACATTAAGGGAATAAGATGTAGGTCCCACCGTTTAGGGCTTAGCGAAAAGGATTTAGGGACTAGGATGTGTTCTTCGGATTCAGGGGCTCTCTTTTTTAAGATTTAGGGGCTCTCCTCCGTCGGATGTAAGGATCCTATTACTCAAATCCTTATCGCTAAATCCTAGCGGGTGGCATCCGTAAATCTAATCTGATTCCTTTGATACTTTTTCCCTACGCCTTAAGGAGGGGCGTCCTTAACTCCTAAAGAAGAGAGCCCTTAGATTTTACAAACCAATCTTTCCCCAAGTCCTTTGTGCTAAATCCTAAAGAGCGGGTTCCCTAAATCTGTTTCCTGAAGCCTTATGTCCTTAATTTCATTCCCTAAATTTAATTCCCTAACCCCTGAAGAGGGAGGGAAGCCCCTAAATCCTAAGAAACAAAGCCTATTCCCTAAGTCGTTTTCGCGAAGCCCCAAAGACCCAGATCTTCCGGAAGGTTTAGATTGAAGGTTGAAGATGCCGAGGAAGACTTTTCCTGGCATCTCCACTCTTCAATCTTCAACCCAAAGCCTTCCGGGACATTTTCCGGACATCTTCCGAGCACAAAAAAATCATGATCATATTTTCGTTTCATTTCTATTGCTCTTCAGAAATCGCTCACCTCTCTCGCTCTCATCAAGGGTGTGAATGGTGTGTACAAGTATAAGCGTGTGACTATTAGCACCCCCCCCCCCCCTGGCCCTGAAACCAACAAGTTTACTAGAAGGCCTTAGAAAAGGTAGGTACGGGGCGGAGGGCACCATATAAATATTAAAATATAAATGCAAGTATAAATGTAAATATAAGTATAAATATACACAAATAAATATAACTATAGATATAGAAACCAATATCGAAAACTAAATTTAAATATGAATATAAATATAAATATAGATATAAGTAAAATTAGATACACAAATTTTATATACCATATTGTATGTATGTATGTATGTATGTATGTATGTATGTATGTATGTATGTATGTATGTATGTATGTATGTATGTATATATATATATATATATCCAGGGCCCTTATCCTGGTACCTCAGAATTACTTCTTGCGCCTGTAGACACCGAGGGTGGACAGGCCAAAGCCCCAAGCTTCAGTTGGGAGAGCTTACAGGGGTTGGGGATTCGAATCCCTAAGCCCTAAACCCTAAACCCTAAACCCTAAACCCCGAGTAGTACAGCAGCCTCATATCCACCCTCAGGCCTAGCCCCGAAAGTGTGCCACTGTCGAAGCCCCTGTGCACCGAGCTGAACCTTAACCCCAAACCCTAAACTCCAAACCCTAAACCCCAAACCCCAAACCCTAAACCCCAAATCCTGTTGCGCTCAGCTGCTCAGATTCAGAGACAGCGCCGAGTAAACCCAAAACCCCTAAACCCCTAAACCCCTAAACCCCTAAACCCCTCAACCCCTCAACCCCTCAACCTAAACCCCTAAACCCCTAAACCCCTAAACCCCTAAACCCCTAAACCCCTAAACCCCTAAACCCCTAAACCCCTAAACCCCTAAACCCCTAAACCCCAAGAGCCCTAAACCCCTAAACCCCTAAACCCCTAAACCCCAAGAGCCCTAAACCCCTAAACCCCTAAACCCCTAAAACCCCTAACCCCTAAACCCCTAAAAACCCAAGAGCCCTAAACCCCTAAACCCCTAAACCCCTAAACCCCAAGACCCTAAAACCCCCTAAACCCCTAAACCCTAAACCCCTAAAACCCCTAAACCCCTAACCCCTAAACCCCTAAACCCCTAAACCTAAACCCTAAAACCCCTAAACCCCTAAACCCTAAACCCCTAAACCCCTAAACCCCTAACCCCTACCCCTAAACCCCTAAACCCCTAAACCCTAAACCCCTAAACCCCTAAACCCCTAAAACCCTAAAAACCCCTAAACCCCTAACCCCTAACCCCTAAACCCCTAAACCCCTAAACCCCTAAACCCCTAAACCCCTAAACCCCTAAACCCCTAAACCCCTAAACCCCTAAACCCCTAAACCCCTAAACCCCTAAACCCCAAACCCCAAGAGCCCTAAGACCCCAAACATCAGACCGGCTCTTTCCCGGAGAGGACGCCCGCGCCCTTCGAAGCTGGGAGGAGCTAACGGCGGCCGAGCAGGAGGCGGACGAGTTCTACCAGGCCATGGGGGCGATGCCTTTTGGGGTTTAGGGTTTAGGGTTCAGGGTTTAGGGTTTAGGGTTTAGGGTTTAGGAAGCCAGGGGCTTTTTGCTTGGGGTTTTGAGGGTTTCGAGGGTTTCGCGGGTTTCGAGGGTTTTGAGGGTTTCGAGGAGGTTTGAGGGGGGTTCTGAGGGGGGTTCTGAGGGGTGAAGGTTTGGGGATCAGCCTTTGGAGGGGCGTTGAGCACAGAAGCCTTTGAAGGGGCGGAGCTCTCTCTATTTCCAAGCGTGCCTCAGGCTCAGAGTGATTTACGTGCGTGTGCGTCGGGCCACATCAGCCTGCTCTTCGGAACCTCATGAAGCCCTAAAAGGCCGCAAAGGCTTAAAAGCTTCTAAGCTTCAGCCCTGCCATATTAGGTTCCTCCAATCTCGTCTCCGAACCCCTCCGAAGCCCCCTTGAGGCACTCGTCGGCCCCTTGCAGCGGAGAGCCGAGGCATCGCAGTCCCAATACTACGACGCACCTTGTCGCAGGGCGGTTTCGGGTTTAGGGTTTAGGGTTTAGGGTTTAGGGTTTAGGGTTTAGGGGTGGCCAACAACTCTTCCGAGGTGGTAAACTTTTGGCTGCGCAGTGCTAGAGACCATGTACGCAGCCTTGCCAGGGGTTTCAGCTGTAAGTTTCGGGGCATGTCCGCCTTCTAAGGATGCTAGTGGGGAATGCACAGCGGGCGCGCTGCGCTGCCCTAGCCGGAATGGGGATTTTGAGGATTTCGTTGCGAGTGCAGGGGCTCCTAGTGCATGGCCCAGGTGTCGCGAGGCTGCGCCGTGTGGACGGCAGGACCGGGCGTGACGATTCTGGACATGCAGACGGTGATGCGCCTTAGATGCCTTTTGGGACACGAATCCGCCCTGAACCGCCTGAACCCAAGGCAGACGGCTGAATATTAAAACCCCGATGTTGGGATGTTCCCCCTTATGCTAACAATCCTTTACAGGGGGCTAGAATAGGGGGTACAATTATCCCTACTAAGGACTGTTAGTATAAGGGGGAACATCCCAACCCCAATGTGTACTTTGCAAGGCAGTGCCCAGGCCAAGGATTTGCGTTAATCCGACTGCCCTTGGGAAGGGCTCGAAGGTACCCCCTCCCCCCCCCAGTTCCCTTACATGTCTTGTATCGCTTTAGTTGTAGGAGAGTCCTACATCATTGCTGAAACACTGAACTAAACCCTCCCAGCCTTGTGCGAGCTGGAGCGTCGAAACCCACCTACGCCCAAAACCCTAAACCCCAAACCCTAAACCCTAAACCCTAGACCCTAGACCCTAAACCCTAAACCCTAAACCCTAGACCCTAGACCCTACACCCTAAACCCTACACCCCCTGAAGCTGAGGAACCGTGTCCAGGAGGCCGAGTTCGACGTGCAGTTGCTGCTGGACATTGAGCGAGGTGACCTCAAGGTACCCGAGAAGGACCAGCGTTGGCCCTAGCCCCCTTAGGGTTTAGGGTTTAGGGCTTAGGGATTAGGGTTTAGGGTTTAGGGGTTGGGGTTTAGGGTTTAGGGTTTAGGGTTTAGGGTTTAGGGTTTAGGGTTTAGGGTTAGGAATTATTTTCTACTTGGTCGTTTTATAAGACACCAGGGAATATTACACGCATTATGTTTATGAAGGTTCTAAGGGGACTATAGCGAGGGTTTAGGCTTCAAATGGGTTGAGGGTGCCGTCAGAGACCTGGATGCATCCAAACTGTTTTGGGCAAAGCCTCAAAATTCAAACCCTAAACCCTGTAACTGGGGGCAGCCAGCAGCGAGCGTGTGCCCAAAAGACCCGACAATTGCCGGAGGTTCGGAAATTTCTCGTGGGGTCCTTTTCTGGGTTTGGGGGTTTCTTCAGGCACGCGGGGGCACCTCAGAAACACCCTAAACCCTAAGCCCTACCCCCTAAACCCTAAACCCCTAAACGTCTTTCGCCTCTGCTCTCACCACGCCGTAGGCCCCAACCTGCTGCAAGAAGGGTTTCGGGTTTAACTTTGGGTTGAGGGTTCTTTGGGAGGGTGTAGGGTTCCGGCGGTTGCGCGAAGCCGGGATGGGGACGCAAGAGGGTTTAGGGTGGATCCTGCCTTAACTGGGTTCAGGCAGGTTTTCGGCGCCCTTCGCGATTCCCTATCTAATCTGCCGTGTCACGGTTGCTGGCGAAGATTGAAGATGACCATCCTTCCGGTGGTTTGGTGCCATGAGTAGGGTAATCTCAGCAGGGTGTAGGCATGGTTTCGTGAGTGTCACGAGGAGGCTTTGAGGCCTGCCAATAGTTCAGCCATCGTAGCTCCGACTTACTTCTGAGAGCTCGGGTTGCAGCATTCCGATTTTCGCGTTGTTAATTTGCGGTTCCCTAAACCCTGAACCCTGAACCCTAAACCCTAAACCCTAAACCCTAAACCCTAAACCCTAGACCCTAGACCCTAGACCCTACACCCTACACCCTACACCCTAAACCCTAAACCCTAAACCCTAAACCCTAAACCCTAAACCCTAAACCCTAAACCCTAAACCCTAAACCCTAAACCCTAGTACCTGCAGCGCGCGTCGCAGGACGAGGAAGTGCGCCAGGATGATCCGGGAGTTTTCCGAAAGAAGAGGGCAGGGCATCACCGGCTGCCCTGGAAGTCAGTCGCTAGGTTGCTGGTAAGCTGATTTTATTCTTTGTTTAGACGTATTTGTCCTCAGAGGTTTTGAGGCTGAAGTCGCGAAGCCTTTTATCTTCTGAAAAGCGCCTTCGGTCTTGCTAGAAGACTCGCGTAGTGACCGTTCGCCACAGACTGTGCAGGTCCGGCGCATGACAGCCGTCCTCCAGCTCTGCTGGATTTTCTTGGGGACGCAGAACTTGCTTAGCAACCACGGCTGGTGGGTGACAGACTGGGGCTGGGGAAAGTCTAGCAGCCACGGGCATGGAGCGAGCCATGGGCATGGGGAGAGCCATGGACATGGAGAGAGACGACTCACAGCCGGAGAGGTGTGGCCCGAAGGCTTTGAGCCACTTCCAGTGACCTGGCCCCATGGCGCTTTCTTCGATCCCTTCCGGCTGTCGTGTGTGGAGAAGGGTGATGGCAGCCAGCCTCACATATTCATCAGCAGTGTCTACAGGCAGTTTGCCATGGCCATGCCGGGAAACGAGAGCTCCATCCAGCTTCAGCCCCTTTCGCTCGACCGAGTGCCTGCCGCAGCGGCTGTGCTGCACTGTGATGAGCTGCGGTGTGCTGTGGCAAAGCTGGACGAGGATGGCGCTGCGCTGTCTGTCTGGCATGTGCAGCCACATGGCAGCCTCAGCGAGACAAACCCTCCAGAGCCCTCGCTTCGATTCCGCATACAGGGGCGGCCCTGGCAGAAGTTTGCCGGCACTCTCCTGCCCTGTGCTTCCATCCAGCGCATGACGGCGGACATGAGACCGAGCTAGATTCGGAATGGCTTTGCATGGTTTTGATAGTAAGCACACACTTGTCTGAGAATGAAGAAGAGCCATCCGGTATGCTCGATCCCACACGCGAGGGCGGGCAACTGCTACCTCTTCGCCGGCTGGGACGGGCAGCGCGTGCCCCTGGTGGCTGTCGCAGCCGCGGCCCCATCTGCAGACAAACCGCCGTACGTGGACGCCAGGTTGCAACCAAGGCTTCCAACCCCGAAGCCAAATGCCCAGAGGAAGCCTTAAACCATCTTAAGCCCCACAAACCTTACACCCTCGACTTGAGGGTAGAAGAGTTTCGGGGGCGGCGCGCGTGCGCGCGCGCCTTTTTCAAGTCAGGGCTGAATCTTGCCATTCCGAGGCTCCCAAAGGCATGCACCCCCAAAGCACGAACCTTTAAGGACCTCCGCCCCCGTGTCGATGCGCCCCTGGCGCAGAGCCTGGAGAGCCCCTGCTCCAGCGCCTCGGCAACCTAAGGTCCCCCAGCACCCGAGGCTTACGGAGTTTAGGGTTTGGGGGTTTAGGGGTTTAGGGGTTTAGGGGTTTAGGGGTTTAGGGGTTTAGGGGTTTAGGGGTTTAGGGGTTGAGGGGTTCAGGTCGGTGTTCGCGGTGTTGCCTCTCAGTTCGTGGTCGAAAAACCGACGTAGAAGGACCGAAGATGTCCGCGTGTTTCCTTTGAGGGACCTGGCAGGCCCCGGCCTCGGCGTTGGGACATTTTAAAGGGGTTTAGGATTTAGGGCCCCATGATTTTTGGGCCCATGATTTTGGGTTTCGGGTTTCCGGTTCCCGGCCTGGTTCGGTTGCTTGTGTAAGGGGGGGGGGGGGGGGTGGCCTTCGAGCGGTGGTGTGATTGATGTTGAAGCCCTCCCAATTCTGAAGCCCAGGCTGATAAGAAGCCCTAAACAGCTCTAACCCCAAAGCCCAAAGCCCAAGGCCCAAGGCCCAAAGCCCAAAGCCCAAAGCCCTAAACAACCCCTAAACCCCTAAACCCCTAAACCCCAAAGCCCAAACCCCAAAGCCCAAACCCCAAAGCCCAAACCCCAAACCCTAAACCCTACACCCTAAACCCCAAACCCCAAACCCCAAACCCTAAACCCTAAACCCCCAACCCTAAACCCTAAACCCTAAACCCTAAACCCCAAACCCCAAACCCTAAACCCTAAACCCTAAACCCTAAACCCTAAACCCGAGCTGTAAGGAGACCTCCTGGGCCTCCACATCTCCGCGGCCAAGGGCCGCGTGCGACTCTGGGCGCTGCGGCCGGGCCGAGCCCTTTCCGTGCAAGTCTGGGACCTGCCGCTGGGCTTAGGGTTTAGGGTTTAGGGTTTAGGGTTTAGGGTTTGGGTTAGGGGTTGGGAGTTTGGGCTGTGGGGCTTGGGTTTGATTTGGGTTTTGGAGAGGGGCTGGGAGTTTCGGGTGCGGGGTTCGGGGTTTGGGGTTTTGAGTTTGGGGTTGGTGGTTTGGGGTTCAGGGCTTGGCTACGGGAAATAAATGCGGTGTGCTGGCGGTATCAGTCAGTGTACCTGCTTGCGCGTCGCTTCGTGAGAACACGGGGGCAATGCTGTTCAATGCGGATGATAGAGTCTTGCCTGTTGTGGTGCATACAGGCCTACGCTAGTTGTGGAACATGGGATGCCCAATTGCTCCTCTTCATAGGCTTGGCCCCAATGATGTCATGGTGTCGAGTCCAGTGCCGGGACACCAGAGAGCCCTGAAGCAAGATCAAGGCCTCAGAGCATGGCTTAAGCCTGTCTCGTGTCATGGGCATGTCCCGAAGTAGGGGGCGGGGCTTCGTGCCTTGGACGCTTCGCATCCATTTGACGCGGTACTCTTTTCCAGTACATGGGGCGTCCTCAAATTAAGGCTCCGAGGCAACAGTCTGTCCACACCCACACTTTTCAGCGACTATTTGACGTCACCCGCATTGATATCTCAAAAGAAGCTATGTCAAGTAGCCCTTAAGTGTCCAACACACGGGGGGGGGGGGGGGTTCCCATAAGATAACCCTAAACCCTAAACCCTAAACCCTAAACCCTAAACCCTAAACCCTAAACCCTAAACCCTGGAGAGCTCCATCGTCATGCCCCCTTGGGCGTCGCCTTTCTAGTAGTGTATGGTGTATGTTTGGAGCGGCGAGCTGAATCTGAACGGGGAAGCGTAGCGGGGACCCTAAACCCTAAACCCTAAACCCTAAACCCTAAACCCTAAACCCTAAACCCTAAACCCTAAACCCTAAACCCTGAACCCTGAACCCTAAACCCTAAACCCTAAACCTCCTGCAGTGGGGAGCCTAGAGGCCTGCGCCAGAATGTTCTGCAGTGTTTCAAGCTTGAGGGAGCCAGACGATGGGTGGGCTGCTTAACAAGCGGTCACCTAGTGGACTGAAGGACCCGGTCTGGAGAGCTCCCCAGTCCCCAGGTATTGCCCACCAGGGGCTAATTTTTGGAGATTTGGGAAGCCTCGGGGCCCTTTTTGCGAGCCATGTCAACGCACGAAACGACGACTGTTCCCTGCGGAGTGGTCCCAGAGGGGGTCTGCAGGGCGGGTGGCAAAAAACACCCTAGACCCTAAACCCAAACCCTAAACCCTAAACCCCAAACCCTAAACCCTAAACCCCAAACCCTAAACCCCAAACCCTAAACCCTAAACCCTACACCCTACACCCTAAACCCTAAACCCTAACCCCTAAACCCTAAACCCTGAAGCTGGGAGAGCTGACGACTCAGGTCCCTTTTGGAGTCCATCGGCCTTTGGGAGCTGCCTTCCGCCAGTTTCGCCCCACGCTTCGAGGCGTTGGGGGTTTTGGGGCGAGAAGGGTTTAGGGTTTAGGGTTTAGGGTTTAGGGTTTAGGGTTGCTGGGAAGTTAACTTCCGTTCCGGATTCTGGGGGTCAGGGGTTTTAGGGTATCGCAGTTAGGGGTGTTTCGGGTCTGGGCTTCGCTCCCGAAACGCATAAACCCTCAGACCGTCAGTAGAACGCTCGCGCTACATTGAGATCCCTTGCCTTCTGCCTGGCTCCACAGGGCTCGCGCCTCGGAGTAGGGTCTAGGGCTTACCAGGATGGGCCATTCTACCCTATAATCCCTGAAAAGGCCCTTTATAGGGTTCATTCAGGGGATTCTAAGTCCTAATAGCCTATCCTGGTCGGGTTTAGGGTTGCTCCCAACATGCCCGGGCGTAACCTTCCGAAGCCTGCTGCAAAAGGGTTGCCCCCAGCCACTGCAGCGTAAGAAGCCCTGTGAGAGGGGCGAGCACTTTGCGAAGTTGAGCATGAGGACGGCCCTCGGCTGCCTCCTGTCCAGCTTAAAGATGTTACTGTTCAGGGTTCAGGGTTCAGGGTTCAGGGTTCAGGGTTCAGGGTTCAGGGTTTAGGGTTTAGGGTTTAGGGTTTAGGGAGGTTTGGGGATGTTGGGTTTTTGGAGGCGTGGTTGGGTGGGTCGGGTTACTTGTCATCGACCGCTTTGAGATGTACATTTCGGCGCCGCGAAGTGTGCAGTGTATAAGGCAGAGCGCACATCGTGCTTTGCTTGACATGCAAGTGGTTTTCAGGATCATGTGCTTGGACACCCTGCGAACATCTTCTGAGAGGTCTTGACACATAGTTTAGGTGAAGGGAACCACCCCCTAAGCCTACCGTAAGCCTTGAGCCTTGAGCCCTTCCATAGTTGCACATTCTGGCTCATGGGGAGAATAGACGGGTGGTGGTTTCTGTTCCCCGAAGCCCTACCTGGGAAGAGCCTTTTAGGAAGATAACATAGCCGCTAGGCACACCCCGCAGCCCTTAAACAAACCCTAAAACCCTGCATGCCCGAGATATCAGGGGTTGGGCCTGCCTGTCAGATTTGGAACTCGCACATTTCATCAGGCACTCTACCGACGATCATTGAACCCTAGACCCTACACCCCTCAACCCCTCAACCCTTAAGCCCTTAAACCCTTCAACCCTCAAATCCTTAAACCCTTCAACCCTTAATTTCAAAAAGCCCTGAAACCCTGAAACCCTTCAACTCGCAAATCCTTAAACCCTTATACCCTTAAACCCTTAGAACCCTTAAAGCCCTTAAGCTCTCAAACCCTTCAACCCTTAAACCCTAAGAACCTTTTAAGCCCTTAAGCTCTCAAACCCTTAAACCCTTAAAGCCCTTAAAGCCCTTAAGCCATCAAACCCTTAAACCCTTAAAACCCTTAAACCCTTAAAGCCCTTAAGATCTCAAACCCTTCAGCCCGAAAAACCTCTCTAACCCTTAAAGCCCTTAAGCTCTCAAACCCTGAAACCCTTAGAACCCTTAAAGCCCTTAAGCTCTCAAACCCTTAAACCCTTAAGCTCTCAAACCATTAAACCCTTAGAACCCTTAAACCCTCAAACCCTTCAACCCTTGAGCCCTCAACCCCTTAAAACCTTAAACCCTCAAATCCTCAAACCCTCAAAAGCCTTCTGAGCTTACCAGGCTCATCGCCGGCTCTGCCCTGGAACCGCAACTTCTGAGTGCCCAGCTTCGGGGAATGGTCCACCCAATGTAGGGGGTCGAGGGTTGAGGGTTTAGGGTTTTCGGGTTCGTGCAGCAAGTCGTAGGGTGTAGAAGGGTTGAGGGTTTGAAGCTTGAGGGGGGCTCGCGAGATTCTAGAGGTTTAGGGAGTTTTTTGCTCGGTTTTTGGCTCTAGGTGGTTTAGGGTTTAGGGTTTCGGGCTCAGTTGGGCCTTCTACCGGTTCTGGCAGTTCTTTGGTTTGGGATTGTCAGTGACCTCTTCGAACTTCGAACCCCCCAAAATCTGTAGACCTTCTCAAGGGCATGGAGTTACACAAAAAGGGTGTCAGATGAAGTTCTTTTGCCGTTCGTGGCCCCGCGGAAGAGCACTGTAGGTTCATGGCTTGTGGTGTTTAGGGTTGAGGGTTTAGGGTTTAGGGTTTAGGGTTGAGGGCTACTAGGGTTAGGCTCCCTCGTGGAAGTCTCATCTTGGGATCGTCCTTCTCACAGCCTCCCTCGATCTCAAGAGGAACATCAGTGAGCCGAAGGACCTCGGCAGCGTAGTTTCAAAAGCGCTGGCAGATGGGGGTTGCCCTAAACCCTAAACCCTAAACCCTAAACCCTAAACCCTAAACCCTAAACCCTAAAGCAGATGGGGGTTGATCTAGCTATATCCTCCTTGGGATCTATTTTTGTTTGTATAAAACCCAAGAGGATATTAAGAATGTTATTTTCATGAAGGTTCTAAGGGGAGTATAGCTAAAGGTCCTTCTGGGAAACTGTTGAGGGTTTTGATTGGGTTTATCAGGGAAGTTACGGGTATTTTGATCAACTAGCAGATGGGCCCCTGGAAGGTTTAGGGTTTAGGGTTTAGGGTTTAAGGTTACTGGCTAAGACTTGGCCACGGTACTGCCCGGCACCATGGCCACATGTCCTCGGCAGAAGTGCACCGCTGCAGCGATTTTGGCTGAGTCGCATGCAGCACGAGACCATTCATGCTCACACGTTTGTTCGGCGTTATGGAGCGCAGAACCCCACCCTTCCCAGCAAGACCTGCGGACCAGCACAGTCATAGGACAGATCCAAGGGCGTGCCAGAAGGCCCCCCAGCCCCTTCCTCTGCAAAGAGCCACAAGGATTCGAACTCCAGTCCTATCCCTGACGTTACCATCACTGCATCGCTTGCTCGAGTAGGGCCAGAAGCTCCAGCGCCGGACTCCAGGTGGAGTGTGGGACAGGGGGAGATCTCGAACTCGGCTTTCATGTTCGGGAGGGTGCCGGAGCTTGGGGTCTGCTAAACTTTGCCTTTCGTTGTGGGATTTCTGAGGCTTGAGGTGTGGGGAGCTCAGGTTTGTGGACCCGAAAACTCCGGGCTGAGGGTTAGGGTTCAGGGCAAGTTTAGGGTTCAGGGTTTAGGGCTTAGGGTTTAGGGTTTAGAGCAACTTTAGGGTTTAGGGTTTAGGGTTTAGGGTTTAGGGTTTAGGGTTTAGGGTTTAGGGTCTTCGACCCAGAAGCTGAAGGTGGCAACGCGCTTTCCTGCGAGACCGTTGATGGGGAGATGGGCACGCGCCCCAGAGCACTCCGAAGTCCGACCCCGTCGGCCCCTGTAGGTTTAGGGTTTAGGGTCTAGGGTCTAGGGTTTAGGGTTTAGGGTTTAGGGTTTAGGGTTTAGGGTTTAGGGTTTAGGGAGCCCTGAAGCAAATCAGGGTTTACAGTTTACGGTTTAGGGCTTAGGGTTCCAGCTCCTGCTTAAAACAAAAAGGGGGTTTAGGGAAACAGTATTCCCTTAGGGTCTCTCTATACATATATAGTATATACTACGATAATGACCCCTCCAAAAGGCCCAATTCTACTCATTACGGCCCCTGTAGTAGGCGTGTTGCGATGTGTTCTCTGATGCTTGTGGTTTCGAAAGAGCAACTTACTTCGCCAATAGCTGAACTTTAGCAAACTTGTTGGGCGATGTTTATTTAGTAGGCACACTAGCGTTTAAACTCTTCCATTCCTTGGTTATTGGGTTCTTGAAGAAGGAAGTTACGCCGACTCAAGCCCAAGAAGAGCGCACACATGCCTGGCCGTCTTTGGAAGGACGAAAGAAGAAAGCAAATGAGGAGATACCCGAACCCATCTTGGAGGACCCCGAAGAAGGTTGCGTTTTCGAGTGTGAGCCTAGGGTTTCAGATTTGGGGTTTAGGGTTCAGATCTGGGGTTTAGGGTTTAGGGTTTAGGGTTTAGGGTTTCAGGGCCCAGGGTTTAGGGTTTGGGGCTGAAGGCCTAAACCATCCGACAGCTGGCCTTTTCCCGTCAGCCCACCCCTTGCAGGAGCAGCCAAGGGACTCGAAGCATGTGAAGGAGCGCCAACAAAGACTTCGGGGGCCGTTTCGGTTTCGCACGGTCGTCGAGGGCGCAAGGGCCAAATGCAAGAAGGGAGCTTAAGATGAGCTTAAGGCCCCCCCCTGAACCTTAAACCTTAAACACTCTGACCTATGGTAGGTGGCAGGAAGACCGAATTATCTCTATCCCCTTAGACCCTAAACGCTGACGTGCATTCTCCTGCACTTCTCCGTCTAGCTTGCAGTCAGTCTATGTTGTATGCCGTTTCCTTTGTGTTTTTTTTGCTCGTAGTCACAACGAGAGGACTTGATCAAGCTATTTAAGTATGTCTCGTTCTACACTATGGATGCTGTAGCCCTACCAACCCAGTAGCGCAGACTCACAGACCTTCTGGACGTTGCTTGCGTGTATAATCTCCTTAAACTCTTAACCCTAAACCCTAAACTCTAAACCTAAAACCCTAAACCCTAAACTCTAAACCTAAAACCCTAAACCCTAAACTCTAAACCTAAAACCCTAAACCCTAAACTCTAACCTAAAACCCTAAACCCTAAACTCTCAACCCTCAACCCTCCGGCTGCGTGAGCCATGGCAGAGTTGTTCGAAACAGGGAATTGTGTTTCTTTTCTCACCCCTGCTGGTGGTTCACACCACTAATAAGCCTCAAACCCCCTCAACCTTAAACTCTTAACCCTAAAAAACTCTAAACCTAAAACCCCAAACTCTCAACCCTCAACCCTCAACCCTCAACCCTCAACCCTCAACCCTAAACCCTAAACCCTTGCCAAAGCCCTAAACCTTAAACCCCCAACCCTCCATTCACTTCCGCAGACCTGTCGCTGTCGAAGGAGCGGGAGAAGTACGAGACGTCGTCGGAACCGGAGCTAGAGCCGAAGCGCCATGATCTGGAAGCCCGGCAGGGAGCCAGCTTTCGTGTCTTTTTTTTTTTTGTCGGGGGGGGGGGGGGGGGGGGGGGGGGGGGGGTTTAGGGTTTAGGGTTTAGGGTTCAGGGTTTAAAGGTTTAGAGTGGTGACAGAAAGCCCGTTACAAAAAGGGTTTAGGGTTTGAGGAAGTAAGGCCTGCAATGGTGCAGGAGTCAGAGGAGGTTCTTAGGAGGCTTTAGCTAACGCCACTCATTGCGCCCCCGAGGGTTTTGGCATGTTTCAGGGTATTTCACGCGTTTCATCGGTACTTACAGCGTTTTTGGCCAAGGATGCTTGACGTTTATGGAACAGGACACGCAGCTACCGAGGTTCATGCCCTTAGTGAAGATGCCCCAAACACTGGTATTCAAAGCCCCTTTCCTCTCTATATTCAGGGTTTAGGGTTTAGGGTTTAGGGTTTCGGAACAAGACATGCAGTCACAAGTGTTCGTGTCTTTGGCGAAGATACCACAACACTGGTATTTGCACCAGTTTTGCCACTCTGTACACATTTTTGCTTCTTTGTACAATGCATGCAACATAAGCACAAGAACGCTGTGCGAGTCTTTCACCCGAAAACGGAGTTCAAGAAGCAAGCACTTTTTTGAGTGCGATTCGCACGTCTCGAAAGCATCGCTGTGCGCAGTGTGTCGGCGCAAAAAAACACAGAACCCACGGTGGCAGTGGTGATTTTGACAATGGTCAAAATACGTCCCGCACATGCGACACGCAAAAACCTCGACTTTTTTTGATGTTTTCCGGTTTCCAACGCTAAAATGACATGCGCAAAACACGCGGGGCCGCAAGGAGGGACGTTACCTTTGGGTCGTAGCCCCCGCGCTTGCGTCGCGCGTGGCTAACCTTGTGGGATGCCCTCGGCTGTTGAATTCAGTTTCTGAAAAGCAGGAGCGGGTGGTTAGAATCTGCTCCTCCCCTCCCGAACCCAAAACCCCAAATCCCCCGAAGCAAGGAAGCAAACCTTTTGGAGTTTAAGAAATCGACTCCCTTCATTTCGATATTTCCGTCCCCTGAACTTCTTCGATTTGATTCGGCCTCGCGTTTTCTTGGTTTAGGGCTTTAGGTTTTAGGGTTTAACAAAGCATTCCAGAGAGTAGTGTCCTATCAAGTTGTGCCTGAAGCTTGGCGCCGCGAAGTGGCAAATCTCGCCCTGCAGGCATAGGCACTGTGGCGTGGGAGCGGGCTGGGCAGAAAGGGCAGCAGTCGAGTCCCTTGTGAAAAGGGTTTATAGGGTTTATAGGGTTTATAGGGTTTAGGGTTTAGGGTTTAGACACTTTGCCTGCCGAAGCTGAGGGCGCCCTCGATTTCTTAGTCTAGTATGGCGCATTGCCGGCTGAAGGCGCGGATAGTCCACTCACTTCTGAAGCCGAGGCCCTAAACCCTAAACCCTAAACCCTAAACCCTAAACCCTAAACCCTAAACCCTAAACCCTAAACCCTAAACCCTAAACCCTAAACCCTAAACCCCCAAGTAGCCAAAGAACCCGAAAACGCCGAGGATCCCGACATACAGCAGCTGGCGTACACCTTCAAGATCGACGCAGGCCTCACCCAGAAGTTGAACGACATCATGATTGAGAAGAGGCCGGGGCAGTTAGGGTTTAGGGTTTGGGGTTTAGGGTTCAGGGTTTAGGGTTTAGGATTTTGGGGTTTAGGGTTTAGGGTTTAGGGTTTAGGGTTTAGGGGCACCAATACGCCCCAACAAAACCCTTAAGGAGACCCCGCGGACTCCCAAAGCCATCCCAGCTCGATGCTTCTTGCTGCCCACCTACACCCTGGTCACGGAGACGTGTAGCACGATCCCTAACGTTAGGTTTTGGGGTTTAGGGTTTAGGGTTTAGGGTTTAGGGTTTCGGGTTTAGGGTTTAGGGTTTAGGGTTGAATCGGGTTGAATCGGGTTGAATCAGCGCTCCCCGAGCTGTCTGCGGCTCCATCCAGCTTCGCGACCTCCTGGGGAACCCTCAAACCCTAAACCCTAAACCCTAAACCCAACTTCAACTCAGAAACCTCTGGGGCGGTTCTGCCCAAGCATGGGAGGATGAATACCTGGGAGCAAGACCTTGCGCGGCTCTATGAGATCCTGAAGGACCGCAGAGGTCTTTCTTTTAAACGTCGTACTTAGGACTTAGGGTTCAGGGGCTTAGGCTTTCGGAAGTGAGGAGAACCCTGTAAACTTTCCCAAGTCGATCTCCTTCGGGATCGCTGAAATTATTCAATGACGAGGCATACTCCCTTCTTTTGGCGTCTATAGCCCTAAGCCCTAAACCCGAAACCCTACAATGCCCAAGACTCCTTGGGAAAAAAAACCCTAAACCCTAAACCCTCGTTGGCGCCCGATATTCGCTCTTTGGAGATGGTGCTGCAGAAACCCTAAACCCTAAACCCAAAGCCCTCCATGCGACTCCGGGTCCAGGGCTTGAGGCGTAACGTTTTAGGGTGCGCAAGGTGTCAAGCGTAGGGGTTCTCAGGGTTTGCAGATGAGAGTCTTAGGGCTTGGATAGAAAGGTTTAGGGTTTTGGGTTTTAGGGTTTAGGGTTTAGGGTTTAGGGTGTTGCAAAAAGGGTTTAGGGTTTAGGGTTCAGGGTTTAGGGTCTAGGGTTTAGGGTTTAGGGCTTCGTGGAAGGATGCACACACCCCTGCGGCCATGCTGAACCTCAAAGTCAAAGACATGCAGAAGGGAACCTTCGTGGGCAAGGCCTGGTCTTGAAGGGAGGGGGGGTTTAGGGTTTAGGGTTTAGGGTTTAGGGATTAGGGTTTAGGGACCCTTGGGGTTTAGGGTGCAGGGTTGAGTACGGTTTAGGGTTAGGGTTTCGGATTTAGGGAGTATTTGGCATTAGGTTGACATATGTTGGGCTAGAAGGTAGATGGGGATAAGCCCGCTCTGCTCTGACTTGGCGGCATCCACGCAAAGCAAAAAAACTGCATGTACGTATGTAAGCCCATTCTGCTTGGAGAAGTTGGGTCTGATTTGTTGGGAGCTGGTTTCGCCACCTTCAAGTCAGAGTCGTTTTCCGGCGCTGCGTTTATTCACGAGCGGTGCGCTCGGACAGGGAGGCAGCAACACCAACTTGGGTTTGGGGTTTAGGGTTTAGGGTTTAGGGTTTAGGGTTTAGGGTTTAGGGTTTAGGGAAGAGACCACAAGGGGCGTCAAAGTTCTGGAAGGCCCACAGCATCCCTGAAGCCCCAAAATGCCCCAAAATGCCCCAAAATGCCCCAAAATGCCCCAAAATGCCCCAAATCCGAAGTTTACTTCCGAAACCCTAAATCCCAGGCATGTGTACCCAAAAACCCTAAAGCCCCGCGCAACCTGGAGTCTTTGCGAGCCTGAGGCCAAGTGCGGCCCGCGAGTGCGCGAGCTCGCTCGGAGGTGGCGGCCTCGGAGGGGGGCGCCTGGAGGGTTGGATTCCAGGTGTTAGGGTTTGGGTTTAGGGTTTAGGGTTTAGGGTTTAGGGTTTAGGGTTTAGGGTTAGGGTTTAGGGTTTAGTAGGGAAACTGAGACGGGGACCTCGAGTATAGATCCTTGTCCCGTTATTCTTCTTTTGGGGGTTAGGTTCCCCCCCTTTTCAGCAAAAAGGGCACCTTAATGACGTACAAAGATAGCTGTACTCATATAGCTATAGGCATTTTATTGCCGCTTCTTTGTTTGTCTTCAAGGTCCAATGATGCCCTAGGTTTTGGAGTTTGTCCGGGTGACCTTACAGGGCTTTCCGTGTTTCCCCCAGCAGAGCAGGCCCAGGGTTGAGGCATCCGCGCTATCCTCACGGAGTAGTGACGTAAGGAGGTTTTTTTTTGGGCAGTGGTGCCGTGACCCCGAACCAGAGGTTTCTTAGCAGCTTGGCAAGCAGGTGGCGCCATGGAGCCTCAAGGATCTGCTGTTGCCTAGGAATGTGGGGCTTGCCAGAGACAGAGAGAGGGAAAGAGAGAGGGAGAGAGATAGAGCGACCGTTCGAGACTCCAGTCTCACAAGTCCAGAAGTAAAGCGACTCAACCGGTTCCGACCAACGAACTCGAGACCTGGGGCGCGCGGCTGGGACAAGGAAAAGAAGAGAGAGGGAGTTTTCTGGGGGCACGCGTGCAGCCAGGAAGGAAGGCAGGGAGAGAGGGAGGGAGGGAGGGAGGGAGGGAGGGAGGGAGGGAGGAAGGAAAAATGAGAGAGAGAGAGAGAGAGCTCGAAGGTCAATACTCGTCTGATGCAGTCAAGCGACTCAACTGACAAAGCTCAGGTTTGGAGAGAGAGAGAGAGAGAGAGAGAGAGAGAGAGAGTGGGGGGAGAGGGACTTCGCGGCGAGGCACAAGCTTGACAAAGGAGCAGCCACAAAGCTGGAAGAGGACAGACACTCAGGGACCGGCTGGGTTAACCGTTGAGTATATTCGGGTTTTGGGGTTGAGCTTTCGGGGTTTGGGTGTCGAGTTGTTGGAGCTCGGGTTAGGGCTGAGCTTGCAGGGTTCGGGTTTTGAGCCTCTGGGGGCTCAGGGAGCTTCGTCGCGAGAGCGGGCTTCACGCACGTCTGCCACAGGCGATGTCGATGCGGGAAGCGATGGGCAAAGACGTCGAGAAGGATTAGGGCTGTTTTTTGTTTTTTTTCGGAGGAGGGGTGTGTGCGCTGAGTTTGGGGTTTGGCTCATTGCGAATTGGCCCGAACCTTTGTCTGAAGCCACCGATGCTCACATAAGACACACACGCACGCACGCACGCACGCACGCACGCACGCACACACACACACACACACACAATTATAATGAATGAGAAAAATACGTATATATGGATACACAGGTTGCTTATGTACTGCACATGTGTACACATATGCTTTGTTCAGGACATCTTCCTCCTGGATGAGCACCTAACTGCTTCCAACAAGCCCTCGGCACTGATCAGCATGAAGCTCTGGGGCCCAGACCGTGGATGGGGGGAGCGTTTTAGGGTCAAATTAAATCGAATGTATTTGAAGATGGAATAAATATTCCTTGTATGTTTTTGAATCAATTACTATTTCCACCAAGATTATATTCAGGGCTTGGGGTTTGGGGTTCCGGGTCATGTCCTAGGGTTTTGGACCCTTAAGCATTTTTAAAATGCTAGGAGGTACGTGCAGTGCTCGGGCAAAGGTTAGCCTTCTGGTTGACAGGTGATTGTGCTGGTGTTGGTGGTCACCAGTGGCTTTCGCCCCCTTGAGGCTGGACAGCTTGCGAAAGGGCTACAACATCGGTCACTGCATCTACAGCAGGGAGCCAGTGCAGGGAAACACTGGCCCAGGCCGGGCATCGTGGTGCGCCCAAATTGTTCCAGTCGGACCTTTGGTAGGTTTGGGGTAGTTTGCAACTTGTTGATCGTCCTCCTGGTGTGCTGTGGACACTCAGTGATCGAGGGCTGTGTTCCCGTAACCCTTAATCACTTAATCCCCAAATCTTTCGTGCACGTGCATGTCCTGCACCTGTCGTGGTGGTTGTAAGATGCAACTGTCGCACTCGCTTTTGCAAGCCGGCCCGCTGGCGCAGAGGGACAGTGGAATCTTCCCGAGCCGTGATTGCAGAGCACTGTCATACTTGTCAGTAAGCAGGGTCCCCGCGCCCCCTCCCTTGAGAACTTCGCTGTGGCGCATAGCCAGTTCACGGTCTTTCCCTACGCGGGAGCGAAAAAAAACCCTAAACCCATGAGTTTAGGGATCAGGGAGCCATAGGCCGAGAACTCAGGGGCTGATGCAACGCGAATTGCAAAAGGGTGGTTAGGCAGATTGGGGAGTTCAAGTTTGAGGATTTAGGGAGTTGAGGGTTTAGGGTTTAACCAGGTATGAGCGTCAAGGTTTAAGGAGTTGAGGGTTTCCTAAATTCTGAGCCCTCAACCCGAAACCCTAAACCCCAAACCCTAAACCCTAAACCTTACCCGCCAGGGTTCTGCTTTGGGCCAGGTGTGGATGGTGTGGTGGACGCTCGGCTGCCCAAGCGGAGTTGCCAGCTCCTGGTGCAAAGAAGGGGAAAGAGGGTTCCTTACCAATGTAGTAGAACTGCCACTGGGTTTGGGGTTTAAGGCTTAGGGTTTTGGGGTTTACCCTAAACCCTAAACCCTAAGCCCAAAACCCTAAACCCTGAACCCTAAACCCTAAACCCGGTTTAGGGTCTAGGGTTTCTGCTGCTTTATTCCTGCAATAGCGGCAAAAAAAGGTCGCAGCACCGGCTTCTGTGCGAGATCCGGTTGTTGCTGGCAATTGCCCAGCAAAGAGTCATATGAAACAGGGTTTATATTCCTGTTATTGGTGAGTGTATGTAGGGCCCCTTTCTTCATACCGGTGAGTGTACATGTTGGGTGTCCTTTTGAGGTTCCAAGGAATAAAAACGCTGCGTCATATGAGCTGGGCACCTTGTTGAACGGCATCTCCGCAAAGCAGGCAGAATGTTTTTATGTCTCTCCGACGCCCGCAGTTCTACATTGAGGGACTGGCACCCTTCCAGGATAAGAAGCGGCACGTTCGCGTCCTCGGCTACACAGACGCCGACCTTAACAGTCGCTTCGCTTCTTCCGATGGCCGCAGCGAGGACTGGTTTAGGGTTTAGGGATTAGGGTTTAGGGTTTAGGGTTTAGGGTTTAGGATTTAGGTTTCGAGCGGTTTCCAAAAAGTAGCTTCTAGGATCCGAGCTGAACATGTTCCCCCTTATACTTACAGTCCTTAAGTAGGATTCTAGTAGGGGGTACTGCGATCCCTAATGAGGAGCTGTTGGTATAAGGGGGAGCATCCCAAGTTACATTGCGGCTATGTGGGGGTTTACGAAAAGAAGGGACCCCCCAATATAGACCCCTAAATAGTAGGATTCCCTTATAATCAATTTTTAAGGACCCCAATAAGGTACCCCTAATTTCGGAAACCCTAAACCCTAAACCCTAAACCCTAAACCCTAAACCCTAAACCCTAAACCCTAAACCCTAAACCCTAAACCCTAAACCCTAAACCCTAAACCCTAAACCCTAAACCCTAAACCCTAAACCCTAAACCCTAAACCCTAAACCCTAAACATTGCGACTGCTTCCGTCTCTTATTCAACATGCAGGGTGCTGGAGGATGGCTGCTTTAAGGCTGGAGTAGCAGGAGAGCAGTCGTACCGTCTTCTCCCAGGAGGGCACCCTTGTTTAGGGTTTAGGGTTTAGTTTAGGGTTAGGGTTTACCTGGGGTTCTAAAGTACAACCCGAATCTTGTCCCAAGCCCCACCCACAACACCTCAATCTCCCCCAAGAGGGGACGGTTCTCCCAAGTGGTGGTCCCGTTGGGTTGATGGGTATTGAGGCCTCCTGTGGCCTAGATGAAGTAGTCAGGGTCTTTCTGGTGGTTCGTGGTGCGTGAACGACGGGCTCCTCACAAGATTTTGATGAGTTTGTATTTCGTCTGGGGACGCTCGTAATCAAGGAGAACCCTGCTTTTAGATACATGTGGGCATGGTGGGGCCGCGGGGGGGGGGGGGGGGGTGTGCAGCTTAAATAGGGTCTATTTGGAAGCTGGGAATCGTATTTACAAGAGGAAAACAGGCCCCAAAACGTATACTTATTCACAAGAGCCATGTTCCAAATAGACCCTATTTTAGGTCCTGTAGGGTTGCACAGACAGAATTTAATTCATTAAATTCCTTAATTTCCACTTTCCCCCTGGAATTTAATGAATTTAATCAATTAATTCAATTAATTCATTTATTTCCAAAGGGGGGGGTGGAATTAATTGAATTAGTTGAATTAATTGAATTAATTGAACCCCCCCCCTTGGAAATAAATGAATTAATTGAATTAATTGAATTAATTGAATTAATTGAATTAATTGAATTAATTGAATTAATTGGAATTAATTCAATTAATTCAATTAATTCCACCTCCCCTTTGGAAATAAATGAATTAATTGAATTAATTGAATTAGTTGAATTATTTCGATTAATTCATTCATTTATTTCCAAATGGGGGGGATTCCCCAGCCCCCACCCCTCCCCCCCCTTTGGAAATAAATGAATTAATTGAATTAATTGAATTAATTCAATTAATTCAATTAATTCAATTAATTCAATTAATTCAATTAATCAATTAATTCAATTAATTCAATTAATTCAATTATTTCAATTAATTCAATTAATTCAATTAATTCAATTAATTCATTTATTTCCAAATGTGGTGGATTCCCCAGACCCCACCCCCCCCAGCTCGATTTGGCCAAATTTTGCCCGGAGGCTGCCCGGCAAAATTTGGCCAAATCGAGCCGCGCCTTTCTGGAGGCCCGAAATTATTTAAACTATCGCGGCTCGATTTGGCCAAATTTTGTCGGGCAGCCTCCGGGCAAAATTTGGCCAAATCGAGCCACGCATTTCTCATCGCATACGAAGGGCAGCCCGATTTGGCCAAATTTTGCCCGGAAGCTGCCCGGCAAAATTTGGCCAAATCGAGCCGCGATAGTTTCAAAATTTCGGGCCTTCAGAAAGGCGCGGCTCGATTTGGCCAAATTTTGCCCGGAGGCTGCCCGGCAAAATTTGGCCAAATCGAGCCGCGCATTTCTCATCGCGTTCGACGAGCAGCCCGATTTGGCCAAATTTTGCCCGCAGACTGCCCGGCAAAATCTGGCCAAATCGAGCCGCGCCTTTCTGGAGGCCCGAAATTATATAAACTATCGCGGCTCGGTTTGGCCAAATTTTGCCGGGAAGTCTGCGGGCAAAATTTGGCCAAATCGGGCTGCTCGTCGTACGCGCTGAGAAACGCGCGGCTCGATTTGGCCAAATTTTGCCGGGCAGCCTCCGGGCAAAATTTGGCCAAATCGAGCCGCGCATTTCTCATGGCATACGAAGAGCAGCCCGATTTGGCCAAATTTTGCCCGCAGGCTGCCCGGCAAAATTTGGCCAAATCGAGCCGCGATAGTTTAAATAATTTCGTTCAATTGGTTCATTCATTTCCAAATGGGGGGGATTCCCCAGCCCCCACCCCCGCCCTTTGGAAATAAATGAATTAATTGAATTAATTGAATTAATTGAATTAATTGAATTAATTCAATTAATTCAATTAATTCATTTATTTCCAAAGGGGGGGGTGGAATTATTTGAATTAATTGAATTAATTGAATTAATTGAATTAATTGAATTAATTGAATTGATTCAATTAATTCAATTAATTCAATTAATTCAATTAATTCAATTAATTCAATTAATTCAATTATTTCCAAATGGGGGGATTCCCCAGCCCCCACCCCTCCCCCCTCTTTGGAAATAAATGAATTAATTGAATTAATTGAATTATTTGAATTAATTGAAATAATTGAATTAATTCAATTAATTCAATTAATTCCACCTCCCCTTTGGAAATACATGAATTAATTGAATTAATTGAAATTCAATTAATTCAATTAATTCAATTAATTCAATTAATTCAATTAATTCAATTAATTCAATTAATTCATTTATTTCCAAAGGGGGGGGGGTGGGGGCTGGGGAATCCCCCCCATTTGGAAATAAATGAATTAATTGAATTAATTGAATTAATTGAATTAATTGGAATTAGTTCAATTAATTCAATTAATTCCACCTCCCTTTGGAAATAAATGAATTAATTGAATTAATTGAATTAGTTGAATTATTTCGATTAATTCAATTAATTCAATTAATTCATTTATTTCCAAATGGGGGGGATTCCCCAGCCCCCACCCCTCCCCCGCCTTTGGAAATAAATGAATTAATTGAATTAATTGAATGAATTCAATTAATTCAATTAATTCACTTAATTCAATTAATTCATTTATTTCCAAAGGGGGGGTGGAATTAATTGAATTAATTTAATTAATTGAATTAATTCAAATAATTCAATTAATTCAATTAATTCAATTAATTCATTTATTTCCAAATGGGGGGGATTCCCCAGACCCCACCCCCCCAGCTCGATTTGGCCAAATTTTGCCCGGAGGCTGCCCGGCAAAATTTGGCCAAATCGAGCCGCGCCTTTCTGAAGGCCCGAAATTATTTAAACTATCGCGGCTCGATTTGGCCAAATTTGGCCGGGCAGCCTCCGGGCAAAATTTGGCCAAATCGAGCCACGCATTTCTCATCGCATACGAAGGGCAGCCCGATTTGGCCAAATTTTGCCCGGAAGCTGCCCGGCAAAATTTGGCCAAATCGAGCCGCGATAGTTTAAAACTTTCGGGCCTTCAGAAAGGCGCGGCTCGATTTGGCCAAATTTTGCCAGGCTGCCCGGCAAAATTTGGCCAAATCGAGCCGCGCATTTCTCATCGCGTTCGACGAGCAGCCCGATTTGGCCAAATTTTGCCCGCAGACTGCCCGGCAAAATCTGGCCAAATCGAGCCGCGCCTTTCTGGAGGCCCGAAATTATTTAAACTATCGCGGCTCGATTTGGCCAAATTTTGCCGGGCAGTCTGCGGGCAAAATTTGGCCAAATCGGGCTGCTCGTCGTACGCGATGAGAAATGCGCGGCTCGATTTGGCCAAATTTTGCCGGGCAGCCTCCGGGCAAAATTTGGCCAAATCGAGCCGCACATTTCTCATGGCATACGAAGAGCAGCCCGATTTGGCCAAATTTTGCCCGCAGGCTGCCCGGCAAAATTTGGCCAAATCGAGCCGCGATAGTTTAAATAATGTCGTTCAATTAGTTCATTTATTTCCAAATGGGGGGGATTCCCCAGCCCCCACCCCTCCCCCCCCTTTGGAAATAAATGAATTAATTGAATTAATTGAATTAGTTGAATTAATTCAATTAATTCAATTAATTCATTTATTTCCAAAGGGGGGGGTGGAATTAATTGAATTAATTGAATTAATTGAATTAATTGAATTGATTCAATTAAGTCAATTAATTCAATTAATTCAATTAATTCAATTATTTCCAAATGGGGGGATTCCCCAGCCCCCACCCCTCCCCCCCCTTTGGAAATAAATGAATTAATTGAATTAATTGAATTAATTGAAATAATTGAATTAATTCAACTAATTCAATTAATTCCACCTCCCCTTTGGAAATAAGTGAATTAATTGAATTAATTGAAATTCAATTAATTCAATTAATTCAATTAATTCAATTAATTCAATTAATTCAACTAATTCATTTATTTCCAAAGGGGGGGGGGGTGGGGGCTGGGGAATCCCCCCCATTTGGAAATAAATGAATTAATTGAATTAATTGAATTAATTGAAATAATTGAATTATTTCAATTAATTCAATTAATTCCACCTCCCCTTTGGAAATAAATGAATTAATTGAATTAATTGAATTCATTGAATTCATTGAATTAATTCAATTAATTCAATTAATTGAATTAATTCATTTATTTCCAAAGGGGGGGGGTGGGGGCTGGGGAATCCCCCCCATTTGGAAATAAATGAATTACTTGAAGTAATTGAAATAATTGAATTAATTCAATTAATTAAATTAATTCCACCTCCCCTTTGGAAATAAATCAATTAATTGAATTAATTGAATTAATTCAATTATTTCAATTAATTCAAGTAATTCGTTAATTTCCAAATGGGGGGTGGGGGCTGGGGCATCCTCCTCCCCCCAATACTAAACCACGAGCCCGGGCCTCCCCCCAA